CTTGCATCCTCGTCGTCGTGTGAGCTTCTCGGCTGAGGTAGCAGCAGCATTCACCGACGCTTTTTTTTGCGCTGCGGCTTCGCTTGACTTCCAGGATTAGCAGTCAGCAGTTCGACGCTCACATTTCTTGACGCCGTTCAAGTTTTCAAGTCAAGCGGTGCATGCAACGGGTACAGGACCAGCGACAGATGCCAGCTGGTCAGAAGCAGTTTCACCAAGGGCTCTTAGTCGTGCTTGAGTGCACAGGGGAGCAGCACACGAGTCCGCAGTCAAGCTGAGCCCGGAAGATCCCCCCCTCCTTGCGTGGTTACTTGGGTTATTTAGCTATAGAGTCAGACCGCAACATCAGATTTAGATACCTAGGGGACCTCCCCGCGAAATTAGGGTCGGTTCGATTCGGTGCATACAGGTGTTTAAAAGTCCTTTTCTATTTTTTAGAGTCGGTTTTACAAGCAACATCATTTCAAATAGATACAACCTATCCCTGCTAGGAGACCCTAAATTCGCGCAAAGGGGCGTGAGTGGGGCAAGGAGGGACAAGCGAACTGCCACACATGTTCGCTGATCTTCGTCATGTTCAGAGTTAGAACATGTTTACATTAAGCTTAGTCTAGGATCAGCCTCTTTGGCCTGAGAAGCTCAGCCCCAAGCCGGTGCCAAGTCGCCAGGGGTTTCTTGCACGCGTAGCAGCTGGAGTACATGCCAGCACGAGGACTGCTGATCCAAGGTGTGAGGTCCGGTTTTTACATGTTCAGCCCGTGTGCGGTGCGCCCGGTGCCTCCGGACAGCGGTGGGTGCTTCACCAGAGCCGGACAGCTTTGGATGCTGCGATTTGCCGTGGCGTTTTCTTGAGAGAGAACTGGTGCAGTAACACATATTATTCTTCCAAGCCTGCTGCATGCAGTTCTTTGCCAAGTTCCGGCTGCTCATGGATGTGCATGCGGCCATCGTTAGGCGATTCTAGAGATTCTAGTGATTCTTCTCATGTACATGCAGCACAAGCGCATACTTCCAGTCGCGTGGTTTGAGCCTCCAATTGCTGATTCTTCTAGGTCCGTTGCAGGCAGCGACCCCTCCCGTGCAGCAAAACTTTGCCATGTGGCTGTGTGTTGGTTCGCGAGTTGCAATGTGCCTCGCCTGCCCAGAAAACATGTGCAGCCTCTCTTCTTTTCCATCCTGCAAATTCCACGAAGCTCGCCTAGCTTGATTCGAACTTGCTGATGCTGCGTCACTGCTCGCAAGCGGTCCCAACCCCTCCCGGCAACGTGTTCCGGCGCAGGTTGTCCGAGCTTGTGTAATAGCGAAGCGGCGCTGATCGAGCTTGTGTAATTGGGTCCGATAGGTAAGTCACATCGGCAGCTTTGGTCTTGGTGTTCTGGGAGCTGCGCAGCGATCGGGGCTTTACGCCTCGTCTTTGTGTCCTTCGCCAAAGCTTGTCGCAACGCAATGCAGGCTGATCCTGCTTCAGGAATCTTCGGGTCAGATGGTCCTTGAGTATTTCTGCGGTGCTGTACACTTTGCATACGGTCTCATGCCACAGCCTTGGAACAGTGACCACAGCATCCTGGAATGCACGTTGCTCCAGAACCTATTGGCTTTTGCAGCCTTCAGCAACATGTTCCACCGACCCTCTGCAGAAGGCGGCATCGCAGGCATGAAACGCGGTGTTTGGTCGATCCAACACTCGCTTACCCGGCCTTGTGCTGGAGATTGATCGAAATCCAGACTGACCGTAGACTTTCTAAGGCCCTAAACCCTAAACCCTAAACCCTAAACCCTAAACCCTAAACCCCTAAACCCTAAACCCCTAAACCCTAAACCCCTAAACCCTAAACCCCTAAACCCTAAACCTTAAACCCTAAACCCTAAACCCTAGGGCCCTAAGCCTTAAACCCTAGGGCCCTAAACCCGGAAGCTGTTGCAGAAACCCTGAAGGCCGAGCCTTTGTGCAGTGACCGGAGCCGGCGTGCAGGAGCCAGGCAGCCTCCTCGGTCAGCCTCGAACGGTTTAGGGTTTAGGGTTTAGGGTTTAGGGTTTAGGGTTTAGGGCTGCACTCCGTCCCTGGTCAGTAACAAGACGCTCACAAGCTTCAATTTGCTGACTTCGCAATGTCAGGATGCACAGCTTCTTTGCTGACTTCTAAGCGTGTAGGGCTGCACTCCGTCGCTGGTCAGTAACAAGACGCTCGCAAGCTTCAATTTGCTGACTTCGCAATGTCAGGATGCACAGCTTCTTTGCGTGGATGTGGATGGCTGCTCATCAACACAGCTTGGATGTCAGCATCAGTGTGCCCATAAGAGCATGCAGCGCTGATCTCCGTCTGCGTTGGCGAGAGCCTGTACATATTGGCCAATTGTGACGACCACTGCCAAATACCAGCTACTTGTCTGAAGTCACAGAGTATGGAGGCCCCAACCCAAGACTGTAAAAAACTACGGAAAGTGCACATGTGATCACCTCGAAGATGAATTCATCGGCTTGCAGACGTCCGCTTTACGATGTTTTTGCATGCCTCCACTTGTCGGGCTCTACGTACTGGACGCGAGGGGCCCAGCAAGCCTTTTCGATTTCCCCTGGCATCAGTGCATTGTTGCCTTTTTACAGGTCATCTAAACGCCCAGTGACAGCTGCTGGGTTGCAGGTGAAAGGCAAAGTGCACGGCAACACAGTCAACAGCTTCTCGCCTTCGCCGGTTCCGAGCCTGTGACCAGTGCAGGACCGTGAGCGGGCGTGGGCAAAACCCGATGAATCGTAGAGTTTTTGCAAAGAAAAAGCACGAGTCCGCAGGGTGGCGAGGCCCAGGCGTTGCGATAATTATGGGGGTTTCCGAGAAGAGGGCTGAGGGGTACCTAGTATAGTAACCTAGATAGCAGGATCCTTATTGTAGGGACCGCAAAATAAGGTACCCCGATTTTCGGAAAGTCTTATTGAAACCTTATCGAGCTCTTTAAAGGGGCCCTTATAGTACCCTTATTGTAACCCTTTAAGGGAACCTTTAAGGTACCCCTACTTTTCGGAAACTGCCATATTGCTACTGGTCCTAATGGTTGCAAGAACCTCTGGTCCTCGCATGGTTTTCGCTTTTCCTGTGCCAGGGGCCTTAATAATTCGAGTAGGCGTGTGGGGTATATTGAAATATGACTCTAATAAGGAACCCCCAAACAGTATAGGTAATTATCAAGGCCCCTATAGTATGCAGGTTAGGTACGGCCCCCACTCAGTAATAGTTGAATAGTATTCATAATACAGATAGTAGGACCTTAGTAGTAGCCCTATTATAGACTCTTACTGTTTGGGGGCCGTACCCATTATGTAGGGTTAGTAACTTTGAGTGGAGCCGTGACCAGACTTGAGACCTTTGAGGCCCGCTTTGCATGTAAACTGACATGAGAGACAAAGAGTGACGCCGTTGTTCCACAGTGCTCAAGTGGCGCTACTTGAGGTTGGTCGACTGCAGCATTTGTTTTGGATCCAAGCCTCAGCCATAAGGAATTTTGGTCTCACTTACGCGAGTCTCAAAGACAGCACGTCAATGCTCAACAAGCAGCATGAGGCATCTCTATCGCGATGCGACCAAGATAGTTCGGAACACGCAGCCCCGGTTGGATTTGAAGCTCAAGTCTTTGCACCTCGCAACTCCCAGGATTCAACTAGATCGTGTTCGTCATTAGAAGCCTGATTGTGCATGATTTTGTCTTTGTCGCATCACGCATCTCCAGTTCTTCCTACCAGCCGCCACATACGAACCTTGTATCCTAAACCGTAAACCCTAAACTCGACGAGAGATGTCCTGCTGCCACGTTTTTCTGCCGGCTGCATGCCATGTGCCGCATGGGTCTTCCGTTTCAGCAGAACAGGTCCGCTCCGACTTCTGGCGGTAATGGGTTTAGAGTTTAGGGTTTAGGGTAGTTTTGGGTTTCTGACGAACTAAATTCAAGCTGCTGCAACATGGATATATAGAGTACGGAGAATGGTTTCCTTCCAGCGCTATCTGAATTGAATGTCTTTAACCCAGAGAGCCCGATACCGCTTAAGGATTGCCTCCAAATCATGATGTTAAGCCCCGTATGGTTCAAGGTATATTGCTGCACCCAGGGGCAACGGGCCTCTCTGTATAAGAACAGCATCCCAGTGCTTCGAGGATCGATGCGACTCTCTCGGTTCGGACCGCCAAGTTTCACCTGGAACAGATAGCACCAGACCGAAGCACCGAGGAAGCAAGATACTCCTACTTTCGTAGGGTTCTGAGCTTCACGCTCTCGGTTATCCGCAAGGCGCCAAAGTGTGCCTGCAATTCTGCAGTAGTCTGCAGCGTGACGGAGCTTTGCGATCGCAAAGCTGAAAACAGTTTCACATAGTCTAACGGGGGATCAAGAGATGCTTAAATTCTTGCGTCCCATATGTCATCGTTTGCCAGTTAAGTTATGGTGCTCTTTGCAGCAGCTTACGTCACGAGCTTGTTGTCACTAGAGCATGCCCCGACCATGCGCTTTGAGTTGAACGGTTTAGGGTTTACGGAAACCCTAAACCCTAAACAAGCTAGCGGTTCGGTTCGCTTCACATTCTTTCGGTCTGATATTTCCGGTTTTGAGACATCGCTATGTGTTTTGAGTATGAGATGTTGCAATTGCCATACCCTTGGAGTGCGAGCTTTTGCACCGTCCCCATGTTTTGGTCCACGATGTTTGAGCCTAAACGTTGCATCGTGCACCTGTGAGACTGCATGATTTGACGTTTGCGGTATGCTTGGCAGTTGTATCGGTACCGAGATCCCTACTGGAATTAGACGATGTTCCGGAGTGGAACTGAAACAAGATTCGTCCTGACATGTTTTAGGAGGTAGGGTTCCGTGATGCGTGGAGATTTTCCCCACAATCTTCTGGAGCTGGAGATGGTTTTTGTCATTGCTCACATTTTCCTCTGACCATCAGGACAGCCTTTGTCTCAAGTGTGTTGCATCGTCAATCCGCCCCTACCTTTGCCAACGGCTCCTTTCCTACATGAAGGCCTGCTGCACTGCTGCACTGGTTTGGTGTTTTGCTGTCTTCGTGTACTGCACATGCCACGCCTGCGAGGCCTTCTGCTTCTTGTTTCCAGTTGTGCTTGCCATCCGCGACAGCGGCCTCGACAGCCTCGACGTCGACAGGTCGAACAAGACCACGTGCCGCGACGAAGGACTGCGGTCGAGTGCAGCCTGTCAATCTGCACCGAACCAGAATGCTGGCGAGCCTTTGAGTGTTGCATTCCTGTCCAAGACATGCAGGATACAGCTGTACGTCGGACTCCAACTGCTGCGAGAATCTACACACCCATGGTGGAAAAGGGCGCCGATGCCTAAAACTCAACATGATCAACAATCAATTGCCACTATGCCGAACTGCACACGCATTTCTTGAGACTCCATCCCTTTTTGTGTCCACTGTTCCAGAGGAAATTGAAGCCTCTGAGATGCAACACTTCGTGGTAGCTTGCTCGCCTGCTTGAAGTAAGGTCTCCCGCTGGGGAGCAATACCTTCGCGCAACAAAAGGCTGGGCTGCTGCTTGGCGAGAGGAAGGTGACCTCACTTGGGGCTGCAGTCCCCTTTCTAGAGCTTGTCAGAACACGGCCATGCTTGCAACACCCCGTGCTGCAAAGGAAGGGAATGGGATCTGCGCCCGGGCTCACCTCGACGCGGGGGGCAAAGTAGTTTTCCAGGGAAAGGGCGACCCGTGCGAGAATGCCTTCGACTGCGACCCGGATATGTCCCTGACCTGCAAAAATTCCGCATGCCGCTTGGCTCGGTATGTCTAAGTCTTGTGGGTTCATGGGTATTCCTGCTATTCCTGTGCGGACTCCGGAGCCCGATTCGGGCGCGTTCGGGTTCATGGGTGGTGATTATGTGGGCCTCAAAAAAGTTGAGTTCCTGGCCTACCCTGCCAGGTCGCAGCATCATGTGAAGTACTTGGAGGGGCAGGGGACTTAGTAAGTAGATTACAAGTAGGGTTATGATTGGGGTAACTCCATTTAGGGCACTTATAACTCTACTTATAACCTACTTACTAAGTCCCCTGCCCTTCCAAGTAACTAGAAGTTTCGAAAGCTGAAGCCATCTTGCTTGAAGGCATGTCATGAGCCAAGGTGTGAAAAAGTAGACTGAGCCTCGCAGCAGATCCGAGCACTGCGGACCCGCTGACCCTGGAAAAGAAAAGCCAGCCCGTCACACGTGTTTCCAGCGCAACGTAAGCCCTAAACCCTAAACCTTAAACCCCTGAACCCCTAATGAATGGGGGCCCGGGTTCCAGCTCTCTGTTGCTTCTGTCGACCGCAAAGGTACCGAAATCTGGGTGAAGGAATCGATTGATGCATCAACTGCTGCGTTCTTGTTCAGGAATTTCATTTAAGTTACCATAAGCAAGAAACCATATGATTTGCTATAAATTCGTATTCTGGCAACTTAAACTTAACTCCTTAACTTCAACCCAGTTGATGATACCTGCAGAATGATTGGAATGCTACCTCAGACTTGTGACCAAGTAGGCCTAATCCAGGAGATGCACCGATCACACTACTTGGAGGTTCGTGGGCCTTTATAAGTGGGGTTATACGTCCTCTACAAGGGTTATAAGCATAGTTACCCTACTTAGAACCCTACTTATAACTACCCATGAACCTCCAAGTACAGATGCAAGTGTATGTACTGGGATACAGGTCAGACTGGATGTTCACGCAAGACAAACGGAGCACATGTGGATTCACAGGCGCTGGGAAACTGGAATCAATTGGGCTCCCACCTTCGGGTTCATGGGTAGTTCTACGTGGGGGTTAGAAGTAGGGTAACTAATACTTATACCCCATATTAGGGGATTTCTCACTCTACTTATAACTACCCATGAACCTCCAAGCAGTCACATCTCGCCGGAGTTGTCTCGGTCCCAATCCCCTCTGTCCCTAAACCCTAAACCCTTAAACTTAAAAAAAACCCTTAAACCCTGAACGCCTAAACCCTAAACCCCAGACCCTAAACCCTGAAACCCCTGAACCCTAAACCCTAAACCCTACAAGCCCTCTGACAGCCTCGAGTCCGCAATTCCAGAGATCTCCCGCGTCCTTTCCCTCGCGTCGCCTCCACGCCACATTCTCTCTTCGACCTCTTCGACAGAGGCATTGGAGCCGCACATATCGCTATATATAATTGTATATATATATATATATATATATATATATACACATATATGTACACACACACACACACACACACACACATGAAGAATATCTTGTGCTGCGAGCAGAGTGCTCCTGAGTGCTCAACCGCTGGGCGAAGGGTGGGGCAGGGCGAGGGCCTTGGGCATTGTGATGGGGCGGAAGTGGGGGGTGATGCTGGGGCGCCTGCAGCTGAGTTTTCGTGAAAAATTGGTCCAAAGCGCCCTTCTTCTGAGCCACGATCTTGCTAGAGCTTCTGCGGCCATATCTCAAGCGGTGTAGCATCGTCAGTCCCTCCGTACCTCTGCCAACGGCTCTTTTCCTACATGAAGGCCCGCTGTGTGGGATTAGCGCTGTCATCGGACTGTCCGATTTGCAATATTATTAGTATTAGTATTTCTATTTGCCAGACTTATAGCGAGGTCACGTGAGGTCAACCGAAAATGCTGGAATTAGCTATGTTGTGCCGGTGTCAGAAATACGGTTCTAAAGTTAGGAAGAAAGGTCACGGAATATTCCATCACATGTATCTGGAGAAGCAGCAGTTGGCCAGATGACAGCTACACAACCCAAGAACGAGCCTGTTTCAATGAACGAGGTCCGTTGCTTGCTCTTTCGTCTTATTGAAACGAGCTTGTTTCAACAACATTAGTCAGTCAGCCCAACATGCCAAAAGCCCGGACCGAGCTTCAATGCAACCGGTTTCTGTTCAGCCACCCCGCCCCCGCCTGCCCCACTCACGGGCTCAAAAAACCAGCCTGCTTCAATGAAATAGGTTTTTGTTCATGGTTTCGCCCACCCCTGCACGAGCCCATTTTAATTTGGTTTTCAAGGTTTCCCCTACCCCGCTCACGACCCCTCCAAACGAGCCTGTTTCAACGAAATAGGTTGGTTGTCATGGTTTCCCACTTTACACCTCACCCTAGCCCCCTGCCTCATTCACGGGCTCACAACCCCGTTGGTTTTGATAGTTTTCTACCTCACCCACACCCCCGCCCCAGCCCCCTGCCCCATTCAGAGTTTCAAAACCCCACAAGGAGCTTATTTCAAGGAAATAGGTTGGTTCTCATGGTTTCAAAACCACCAACACGAGCCTATTTCAATAAAGCAGCTTGGTTTTCATAGGTTTCCACCTCACCCATACCCCCACAACAACCCCTCCAAACAAGCCTATTTCAATGAAAGCGCTTGGTTGTCATGGTTTGTAAAACCACCAAAACGAGCTCATTTCATGAACAAGGTCGGATTCACTTTTTTCCACCTCACCCACACCCCCATGTCAGCCCCTTGCCTCATTTAGGGGGGACGGGGCTAATTTCAATGAAATAGGTTGGTTTTCATGATTGCCCACCTCACCGCCTCATGCACGGGCTCAAAACCCTTCCAAACCAGTCTATTTCAATGAAACGGTTTGGTTTTCATCACCCACACCCCCCAACCCTAAACCCTAAACCCTAAACCCTAACCCACCCCAGCCCCCTGCCTCAGGGTTTCAAGCCGCCCAAAACGAGCGTGTTTCAATAAAGTAGGTTGGGTTTCGTGGACTGCTCTTCCATGCCTCAGTGACGAGCTCAAGGAACAAGAAGAGCATAGTGCAATGAAGTAGAGTCAGATCGTGCTAGCTGGATTTCCCTAAACCCTAAACCCTAAACCCCTAAACCCTAAACCCCCAAACCCTAAACTACATCATTTAGCGACCTGACCCGATGTCGCGAAATTGGCGACCCGAACCGACCCGACCTGCCACTGAATTGGGTAATGAAATTATTCTAAACTACGCAGTTACTATTGATTAGTATTGCCATGAATATTTTAATACTAGTATTAATATTAAGCGTCCAATTAGTTGCAGTTTGGTTGCTTGCCACAGCTGTGAGGCCTTCTGCTTCTGGTTTCCAGCTGTGCTTGCCATCCGCGACAGCAGCCTCTCTGCGGAGATGCCGAAGCAGAGCACTCAGTGCAGACGCGAAGGACTGTGGTGCAGCGTGCATGAACCCAGACGGCTGCTGCACGGCTGCTGCATTTCGGTGTCAAGGGAACTCCAGAAAGTTGGAAAATGGTTTCAGGGTAGGATACCTTATAATTTACCATAAAGGGTTTAGGATAATCATATTCCAACTTTCTGGCTTTTGCTTTAAGACATGGCAGGATTTTCTTGCGAAGGCGATGGAGATTGCTGCTCCAGCGTCAAAGGGCTCCGATGCCTTTTCCGAGACATGATCACAGAGGAATCGAAAGGTTCGCCACTATGCTGACATTCAGCATGGCCCTGACCCCTAGAAACCCAAAGCCCTACTTGGAGGTTCATGGGTAGTTATAAACTTATAAATGGAGTTATAACTAGGGTAACTTTGACTATAATTCCTATTAGGGGACTTATGGTCTGATAAGAATTAACCTGCGCTCTTTACTCCTCAGTCAGCTTTCGGGGGAGTTTCAAGCTCTCGTACTAGGGTTGGGCACTCATGTTCTCATTAAGACTGAGACTCGAGATCTAGCCGCTAGATCCCGAGTCTCAGAATCTAGCCCATAAGCTAAACCCTCTGAACCCCTCAACCCTAAACCCTCTGAGCCCCTAAAGCCTGAACTAAACCCTACACCCTCTGAACTCCGAGCTTGTTCCTCTTTTTGGAGAGAGGTCTCCCGCTTTGCGGCAGTTCGACATGGCAACTCGGGACTGGGATGCAGCTTGGCAGGTTTAGGAGTTTAGGTTTTAAGGTTCAGGGTTTGGCGGTTTAGGCGTTTAGGCTTTAAGGTTCGGGGTTTAGGGGTTTAGGGTTCTTCCTTCGGGGTTTAGGGATTTAGGCTTGGCTTGAGGGTTTGGGGTTGCATTCACATGCTGGAAGAGCTAGAGGAATGCCCTGCAAGAGCACGACATGCTTGCAATGCACCGTGCTGCTAAGAAGAAGAAGGGGATCTGCGCGCTGAGCCACGTCGACATGGGGGTTGTGGTCTTCCAGGGGCCCGGAAACAACTGCGAGAACGACTTCGACTGCGACCCGTTCCTTTCCCTGGCCTGCAAGAACTCTGCATGCATCCTGGTTTGCAATGTCCAGTTCTTACAAGAACTGAAGTCATCTTGCATGAATGCATCTCTTGAGCTAAGGCATAAAAGAGACGTCTGACTGACCCTCGTGGATGCGATGGAACATGACCTACTGGTGCCAGAAGGGGAGCGAGGATTGGATCCCTCTAGTGGCCCCGGTACACTTCGCAAGCGCAAGCCCGCTCAAAAAAAGCAAGGAAAAGACGCACCTGTGTCAACATCTAAGAGTGTTTACCAGGAAGCACTCGCCTAATTGAACAGAATCGAGCATTGCAGCGTTCCATGCCGGAAGCCTTGATTTGGCTTGAGCCACTGGCTCCAATGACGAGATGTCCGGGTAGCCAGTGCCATCAACAAGAAGCATGTGAGTGCAGAGATGTTGCAAGACACATACTTGATGGTGGTGTTGCGAGCCTTGTTTCGATGCATTCCGTATGTTGATGCTGGAGCATTGAGGTCATGTCGCCAGCTAGCTGCTCCGGGATGACCGTTGGGTAGGGTTTAGGATGTAATCTCCTGAGTTCCAGCTGCTGCACAACTTCAGTATAGCATCGTCGTCGTGGATTCGATGAGCGGCAATGGCGGCATTTCCACGCTTCGTGGCCGGTTTAAAGGACGTTCTGCTCCCAGTGCACCGGAATCAACGTACCAGGTAGTGTGAAAGCGCAGAATATTTCCGGTTTCACCGAGGTCCTGATATTGCATGCTCCGATTCGGTACCTTGAGACCGCACACTTCGTATTCGGTTTTTCCGAATGGAAAGGTTTACAACGTCCTCTGTGCTGCTCCGTCAGTGTATGGATTTGCACCGTTCGACGACTGTCGCATACAGGGTTTAAGGATTAGGGCTATCTTCAAACTGAAGCTGGACCCGACCCCTTGGAGAGCAAGGCTGCAAATTGCAATAGCCCAAGAACACTTTTGATACATGTAATACATGCCCATAGCATCTTAAATTCTTCAATGTCCAAAGTCCTGTACCTTATACCGTATACCCTCCTAAATCAGCACGCCTTCAATTATCCTAGGTCCTGGCCCCTAAGCCCTAAGCCTTTAAACCCTCAACCCCCTAAAGCCCTAAAGCCTGAAAGCCTCAATCCTAAACCCCTATCCTACTCTTTTTGTAGCGCTTATAGATCCCTTAAAGGAACACCCAAACTCCAAGCTAAAGCTCTAAGCCTAACCCAGAGACTCCAATACCCCCTTACTTAAAGAATATACCTTAAATATAGCAACTTCCCAAATATGATTTAAGGTATACTCCTTAATTAAGGGATATTGAGCCCTCGCTTAGTTGAAGGGGGCATCTTGCGGGTCTCTCCGAGCTTCTCCGTGAGGTCGCCAGGCTCTACCGCTGCGTTCTCTTCGATGTCCTTCGGACCTGACTGAGAGATACTTCGATTTAGGGTTTAGGATTGAGGGTTTAGGGTTTGAAGCAAGCCATAATGGCCTGATAGGGATTAAGTAGGGTTTGAACGGGGTTTTGATAGAGATCTAGTAGGGTTTTATTTGGTGTTGATAGGGTTTCAATAGGGAGGATATGGAGTCTGGCAGCATTCTAAGTAGGGGGTCCAATGTAGGGGCCTTAAGTTGAGAGTTTCATGAGGGTTGTGGGGGATGTTCCACGATAAGTATCATCACAGTAGATGAGAGTATATGACATATGACTTATGACATACTTGTACTACATACAGTCCAAATAATACAAAAGCCCTCAACCCTACACCCTAAACCTTAATTCCTGAACCCTAGAACCCTAAAGCTCCTAAACCCCTAAACCCTAAACCCGGCTGGCGTAGAGCCTTGTTGCGTTCAGCGCTTGGGGTTGACAGACTCTGTGGAGCATCGTCTGTCCGCATCTTGGGCTGTTATGGCCGCTGCTTTGTTTTGGGGATGCTATCACGGCTCAGGGTTTAGGGATGTAGGGGTTTAGGGGTTTAGGGTTTGTGTGGTCTGGCCGTTTTGCCCCATCCAGTGCGCTTAAATTTCGTATTAGTGTGCATGATTGAGGATTCGCTGAAATCTTAGGAGACAGGTCAGCCGAGACACGTCGGTATTCTTCAACATGTCTTTATTTGCTTTGGCAGGTTTTGACGTTAGATTTTCTTCGTTTCCCAAATAGATTGTGTTTTTTGAGGCGGAGTCATTGGTAGAGAATGGCAGGGAGGCACGTCTACTTGATCTCTTTGTAGGGTTGCTAAACCCGAATCCTCCTAGCACCCTTCGACTGAGGTCGGTGCACTTCGCGTCCATGGCGACGGAGGCTTATGGGGACCTTGCTCAGTCGGTCCCTGAGACGCTAGCAACAACTAACAACTGGGTTCTTGTTAAAGGATTTAATCTAAGTTACCATAGCAAGGGAACCACTAAACCCTAAACCCATGTCATTTACTCTAGATCCCAATTATGGTACTGTAACTTAGAGCCTTCCACACTCTACCGTCTCGAACCGTCAGCCCCAAACTGTAAAAGACCCCGAAACTAAACCCCTGAACCCTCCGCCCTAAACCTGAAGACTAAACCCAAACCTCGTAGCCCCTAAACCCTTTGAAGTCCCGAGGCTGGAGCCCTGCACTCTGCGAGCGAGCTGCTCGCACGCGACAAACGGGCGAGAGCCTCATCGTGCTGCAGTTCCTTTGGTATAATGATTTGGGAGCCCCAAAACCCAACGTATGGACGGTTTGAAGGCAACCGAACTGTTTGAACCCAACCCTGTGTGAGAATTGCGCTGTGTGGGCTCCTGTTGGAAGCCTATCGTTTCACATCCGGTGCTACCGGTGTCAGTATTGGCAGTATTGTTGTTCTCACGACTCGTGCAGGCGACTGTGGCATGTTTTCCAGCTGTCTTCATACTCCAAGAATCACTTCCGCGTAAAGCTTTTATCATGATGCTGCCCAGATCAGAACACATAGTGTCACTGCTATGTTACTGTAGCACTGTCACTGCTGTCCTTACAAAGCCTTGCCGCCACTTGAAAGTCATAGTTTCACTGCAATGACAAGTTTATACAAGTTTCGGTTTCATAGTCAACACTACTGCGATCAGTTTTATGGTAATCCATCGTGGTCTACTTCAGCATCTCCATTGATCTTGAGCCGGCTTTGTCAGGATCTCCCTCTTCCTCATCAATCAACATCACCATTGCAGTCGCGATGTCCATCGGCACAGTCATCTTCGTCGTCGTTGTCGTTGTTGTCGGGTTCATCATCTTCATCAGCTTGGTCACCATCCTAGCACAGACCGTCATCATCGCCAACATCATGCTGTGAGTACGGACATCGTCGCATTCACACTCGTCGCGGTCGTTCGCTGTCGTTGTCAGCAGCATGATCGTCAGCGGTTTCGGCAGCAGCATGAACATCAACGTCAGCGCCGCCAGTGTCATGACTAGCAGGATTGTCGGTGGTTTCTTGGTCGATGTCATCATTGTCGTCATCATCATATCACAATCATCACTGCTGTCATCGTCCTTCATTTTCAGTTTGAGAACGCCAAGCATCATTGCCGTTGTCATTTTCATCCTCATGGCTTGCACCGGTGCCAGCGCATTCCACGATTTTGGGTGCGGCTGTCTATTTGGTTTAAAACATTTGAAGGTTGTAGTGGTACCGATCAGTGAATGCAGTTGCTGTTGTTCTTCGTGTTAGCAGCGTAGTTTCTACGCAAAGGCTTCTGCTGCTGCTGCTGCTCCGTGTGTCTTTTTGTTGTGTTGATCCTTGTATCAAGTTTTTGGATAATCCTTCGGTGGTTGTGCTGAAACCTGGTATGTTAAGGAAGAAGAAGACGAAGATTGTGGTTGTCGTCTCGGTGCTAGTGAAGATGGTGACGGTGCTGCCAATGATGTAAATGATGATGAATATGATGACGACGACGACGAGTCTCCTGTTCCTCTGGGGGTGTCGATTTCAACGGAGCCCCGCATAGACCGCGAGGTTGGAGTGCTCAGTGGCTCTCCTTTGCGTGCGAAGGCTGGCGTCCACCACTTAAAGTGGCCTGGGGTTCTCGGTGGCTTGCTCTCTCATGAGCCATATGGATCCTCACGGCTCTGTCGAAGCCCAAATTGCCAACGCCGTCAAAGCCGGGCAGCCAGATCACAGTAACCGACACCGAAAAGTCTCAAAGTGAAATGCTGCAGGCGTCGCTGCATTTGAGAAGTTTGGCCATGTCCTGTAGGCTACAGGGAGGGCAAGGGGTTTCAAGGTTCGGTGAGGGCAGCTTCAAGTTCAGGTTTCGACGTGTGGCTTTTGAGCTTCTTGCGATGCTTCCGGGATCCTCTAAGCATGTTCGGAACGCAAAGATCCGAAGTCAGGCCTAGATCTTCAGCCCTATGTATCGCCCTTAAGAAGCCTAGAGGACAGCAGAGGCTCAAGAAGGGATGCTTGTGGTTTAGGGTTGAAACTAAACTCTAAGCCTAGTATAGGGGCAATGAGAATTACGGTTGATGGTATAAATCCTGCATTACCTTAATGGCCCTAATCTATGGGAATTATGGTATATTCCCGATTATGGGTGATGCAGGATTTATATCATTAACCGTAGGACAGGGCTCTGGGGTGTACTAAGCGGTCTCTTTCCTTGGGGCAACTGCACAGGTGATCAAAGCAGCCACCTGTGAGGGCGGCCTTCCTGCCATGCGCTTAGAATCCCTGAGCAGAGTATCTGGATTTTTTTTAGCATTTTCTTCTTCGCTTGGATCAAAACCCAAACCCTAAACCCGAAATCTGCTAGAAAAGAGCCCATAAAAAAGAACAGCCCGAAATCCCATACCTCAATCCAACCTTCCTGCGAACTCCGCAGCATCGAACGTTTTGAACAAGTCGTCCCTGAGCGAATGTTTGGGAAGCTGAGGCAGAGGTAGCAGCTTGGACATCAGGCGAGCTCATCTGCAGGCGCATGTGACTTACCTTTGGTTAGCAGGGAATGGAGGAATGGGGTACAATTATGACTCCATTCTTCCATTCCCTAGTAACCAAAGGTAAGGAATGCTAGACAAACTGCATCAGAGACTGCGCTGCGAATGCAAGCGAAGAAGACGTCTTGCCGAGTTGTGTTCTTCTAGAGCCTTGACTCTCCATCCTAGAAATACGATCGCGAAAGGTGCTGGTTTTAATGAAATTCTGCGAAGTGCAGCTTGCCACCATTTCCTGAACCGAACAACCCTAAACCTGCAACCCTAAACCTATTCCTTACGGTTGATGATCTAAATCCTGCATTACCCACAATAAGGAATACATGGGAATTATGGTATATTCCTTATTATGGGTCATGCAGGATTTATATCATCAACCGTATTCCTTAGTTCAGGGGTGTTTGGCCCTAACCTATTCCTTAGTTCAGGGTACTACAGGGGCCTAAATAATTACCTATACTATTTTTGGGGGGTTCCTTGTTGTAACTATAGTATAATGGGCCCCAAAACCCTACTTGGAGGGGCAGGGGACTTAGTAAGTAGGCTATAAGTAGGGTTATAGTTGGGGTATCTCCACTTAGGGCGCTTATAACTCTACTTATAACCTAACCCTAAACCCTAAACCCTAAACCCTAAACCCGGCCCTTCCAAGTAGGGTTTGGGAAGATGCTTGCAAGGAGCCTCGATGGAAGCCTGGCGCACGAGGCCTGGCGAGGGGGTGCTTAGCTTGGAGATTTCTGTATTTGGGGTTCCTTGGGGGTCTCACGTATATACATGCGTTAACATATGTAAACAAATATATACATATATATATATATATACACATGTATTTTTATGTATCTATTTTTATATATTTGTGTGTATACATCGGAAATCCCTGCACCCTTAATCCTCAACCGCCCTAGATTGCCTGAATCGCGTAAACCCTGAACCCTAAACCCGGAACCCTAAACCCTTGAACTACATGATTCAGGACTATCAGTACAATGCTTAGTTCCACCGTGTGCATCTGTGCAGGTGGACGTAGGTCATCACACATCAAAAAAACCCTAACCAAACCTTCTGGGAATCCCCAAATCCTGCGAGGCGATCTCCGCTTTGCCCAGGCCTCCGAAGGTCTTTGAGCTCTTGCCTCGGGTCAGAGCTTTGAGCATAGGGTTTAGGGTTTAGGGTCAGATAGCTTTGAGCAGAGTTTCGGCAGTGACGACAGCTTGGTTTAAGGGTATCTCCCATATGTTGAGGTGTATTATGTGAAGGGAATTGTGATTTAAGGTATATTCCACAATTGCATTATGGTTGAAGGTGCATTCGCTAGTTTGGTGGGGTTGGTGGTTTAGGTGGGTTCAGCACCTCGAGCCATAGCTACTTTCTTCAGGCCCGGCTCCAGGCATTTTGGCTTAGTTGAGTTGAAGTTCTGTCCGAGGCGTACTGTTTGCAATCCCTGTTCAGCAAGAGCTTAGAGCCGGAGGCAGGGTTTAGGGGTTTAGGGTGTAGGATTTGGGGTTTAGGGCTCACGGATTAACGTGCTTCCACGAAGTTCATCCCGAAGCTTGAACTTGGGATGAGGGACAGTGACAGTGTCCGCCTGTTCATTATTAAGCTTTACCGGTCTGACCGCTATCATCATGCTTTTTTCCCGGTGATCCTCATGCCATTGCTTCAAGACTCGTAATTATAGTACGATGGTACCCGAAACCCTTAAAACGCTAAACCCTAAAACCACTAAACCCCCAACCGTTTCTCTCATGCCTTGCACCCTCAAGGCCTGCAACGCAGTTTTCCGGAAGCCTTTCATCCCAAATCCTAAGCCTGAAGCTTGTAGCCTTAGACTTAGACAAAGTTTGGCGTTCGGACGGTATGGGCAAAGGAAGAACGCACGCACTTAGACTTATCTTTGGTAACTAGGGAATGGAGGAATGGGGTAGAATTATAACTACTATTACTACCACATTTCCATTCCCTAAACCCTAAACCCTGAACCCTGAACCCCTAAACCCTAAACCCTAAATCCTACACCCTGAACCCTAAAGCCTAAACCCTGAACCCTAAATCCTAAACCCTAAACCCTAAAGCCCTGAAGCCCTAAACCCCATTCCCCAGTAACCAAAGGTAAGTAGACGCCAGAGCCCGAACCCCAAGCTCCAAGCCTCAGCTCTTCAAATCGGATCCCCTGAGCCTTCAAGCCGGATTCAAGCCTTGCAAGTTGAACTTTTGGGGGTTCCTTGTTGGGGATCTATAAGGGTTACTATAAAGGTCCTATAGAGGTTTAGGGTTTAGGGCGTCGGGTTTTACGTTATACTCTACGGCGCCACGGCGCTAAAGTAAACACCCTTAAAACCCGAAGCCCTAAACCGTAAACCTCTCTAGTACCTTTCTAGAACTCTTATAGATCCCCACAAAGGAACCCCTGCACCCCTACGTACCCGACGCCCTTTTAAGCTCGGAATGCTATACCTTTATGGTACCCATATATAGCACCCTTTCAAGGAACCCTCCTAGCACCCTTTTAAGGAACCCTTATAGCACCCTTTTAAGGAAACCCTAAGCCCTCTTTAAGGCTCGGAATCTTTGTGAAGCCCCAGCGGTGGTCCGACACGGCGCGGCGCGGCGCGCCGCCCCTGGAAGGCGCGGCCTGGGGGGTCGCTGAGAGGAGGTGGGGAGTTGTAGTGGGTTTAGGGTTTAGGGTTTGGAAGTCTTAGATTAAGATTATTATCATAACTATCATAGTACTTATCATTACAGTATGATCTCAATATTATGATTACTACTGTAATCGTATCATAGTGGGTATCATTATGGTCCTTTATGGTATTACGATTGTTATTCCTTTATCGCATCACTCTAGTATCGTTATAGTATAAGCCAGAAAGTTGGAATATCATTATCGTAACCCCTTTAAGGTAAATCATAGGGGATCCTACCATTAATCCATATTTCCAACTTTCCGGCTTTTACTTTATAGTATAACTAGAGATTTCTTGTTTAGGGCTCAGGGACTCTCAGCTCCAGGCTCGACCCTGGAGGTTCATGGGTGTTGAAAAGGAAGGTTATAGGGGGTCCTTTAAGGGTCCCTTTAAAGGGCTCTGTAGGGATTCTATAAGGGTATAGGGTTTAGGGCCTACTTGGAGGTTCATGGCTGTTGAAAACTAAGGTTGTAAGTACGGTAGCCATGTTTGGGGACTTATAACTTATCACCCCACTTGTACCTACCCGGGAAGCTCCAAGTAAGAGGAGGTGCGGAGGAATTGCCTGCCGGCTGGAAGTTTACAGTGGTTGGGTGCAGGAGGGAGTTGTCACCACGAGGAGCGCTTCGTTTTGGAAGCTGCTTTCTTGATTCTCAGGTTTCGAGCCGTTGGGTTGAGGTTCACAGAGATATTAAATGTAATATACATGTTTATACACACGAACATATGTATGTTATGCTATACATATAAAAATATGTGTTTATATGCATATGTACACACACACACACACACATCTGGTGCTTGTGCAGCGTGGCGTGTAAGGTTTCAGGAGCAGAGACAGCGGCATCAAACGGCAGTGAATGCAAAGAAGAGGGGATGCTCAACTATGGACCCAACATCTCACGCATTGTCATCATAAGTATCTTTGCTACCATTGCTAGTGTCACGATTGTCATCAGTTTAAATGTGAACTGTCGTTATCTCGATCAGCACTACTACTGTCATCATTAGCAGAGTAGTATTCTCAAGTTTATCACGACCGTTTGTGTTTACATTACAAGCCATAAGGCCATTCACCCTTCCCAGCTCTTGCTCGTGCTGGCCACTTGAAGCGCGTCGAGTCCATCGAAGACGCGAACCTCTGTTACTGGGATGCGCAGGCAAGCTCGAAGCAGCAATCTGCCTTCCGGAAACGGTGTCTTCTCAATCCTCTAGTTTGCTTGATTTTAAAATTCACGTCGTTTTGCTCGTGCCGTGAGCAGCATGACGTTCACGACGTATGGCCCTAAACCCTAAACCCATGCGTTCGAAGGTTTAGGGTCTGAGGTTTCTGAATGAGGGCGTTACGAGCGTTCTCACTCAGGGCTTCGCTTCGGACTATTATAGAACACGCATCTACATATGTTTGCATCTTTTTGGGGTGCTTTGTTGGCGGAAGAAATAGGCTTGCCTTTCGGGGTGTAGATTTGGAGCGGAGGGTTTAGGTCTTAAGATTCGCTGAAGCAGATTCCTTGGGGCGCTCTTGAATTTCGGACAGCTCCTGCACATAGGAGGGCGACAAGCTGGACCACTGGCTGGAGGCTGTACGGTCCCAGGGTTTTGTAGGGTTTTAGGTTTGGTGTAGGGTTGAGGGTTTTGTAGGGTTTGAGGTAGTGAGATGTTGTGAGCTTTGAGCATGACGTTGATGATGGTTAGACTGCTTCGAGGAGGACACCGGCCCTACCGGCAACAACTATAGTAATTACAATAAGATTATCATTATTATTACTACTACTACTACTACTACGACTGCTACTACTACTACTACTACTACTACTACTACTACTACTACTACTACTAGTACTAGTACTAGTACTAGTACTAGTACTAGTACTACTACTACTACTACTACTACTACTACTACTGCTACTACTACTACTACTACTACTACTACTACTGCAACTACTACTGCTACTACTACTACTACTACTACTACTACTACTACTACTGCTACTACAATATTCTACAAAACTACTTCTGCTACTCCTCCTGCCCCGTGCTACTGCTTCTGGTACTGATCCTAGTCCACTGCCCCTACTGCTCCCGCTACGGCTACAGATACAGCTGCCGCTACTACGACCAGTTGACCGGCATCTGCAAATCGACACCCTAAACCCTAAACCCTAAACCCTTCTTAGAAGATATGGGAATTTCCGAAAGTTGGGGACCCTAATATCGTACCCGAAATCGCAGGATCCTTACTATACTTGTCCCAAAAGAAGGCGGCACCCCTAATTTTGGGAAACTCCCAGATATGATGCTGTTGCGGTGGTTTGTTCCATCTTTGCTACTCGGATGATGGCTACAGCTGTTGCTCGCATCTTTGCAAGGGCTAGCCAGGCAAAGGCAAAGGTGTGGCATGAAGGCTATCGGCTGCTATCGATTTCTCGACTCTCACAGCTATGTGCAGTTTAGTTTCACGTTTAGATAGAGGAAAAGAAGAAGAACGTCTAACCCATGGCCTTGTCTTGGGGCAAAACGCTCACGAAACCCGACCATTTCAAGCCGCTAAACCCCAAACCCCTACTCCCTAAACCCTAAACCCTTCAGGCATAAGCCGTATTTCCCAAGCCTGTGAGAGAGGCAGCTGTGGAACTCTGCGCAGACTTGAAGGTACGAGGCATTGTTGCGCTTGAGGGCATTCCGCTAGGAGCTGTTTGGTTTTGTGGCTTTCGTTTAGGACTTTGGGGTGTGGGGTTTAGTGTTGGATATTCCCAAACACCTGCCATCCCTGAGCCTATTCGTGTTTAATCTTAATATAAGGGCCTTAATAATTAGAACAAGCTTCTGAGCTTCGATGGGGATTGCCAGCTTTTCGCTGCATGCAATTTCATTCCCAGAGACTCCAATATCCCTTAATTAAGGAATATTCCTTAAATCATATTAGGGATCCTACTATGATTTAAGGACTATTCCTTAATGAAGGGATATTGGAGTCTCTGGGTTGGCTGCGTGCTTTTGGCTTTTCTCTTGCGCTGGTCGGGAGCTCTGGGCTTCGTTCAGGGCCCGAAGCCCGAAGCCCTACGTGCAAAACCCAAAGCCCTCAGCCCAAAGCATCCCAAAGCCCTAATAGAGGGGCCGAGATAATTACTAATACTATTTTGGAGGCTCCTGATTATTTATAATACTATAGTATAATATACCTTCCAAAAAAGCTTGTTCTAATTATTAAGGCCCTTGTATTAAGATCAAACACGAATAGGCTCAGGGATGGCAGGTGTTTGGGAGTATCGCTTTCCGTCGGAGGCTCCCCCATCGAAGCTCAGAAGCATCACAAAGTCGTGGGGAGTTTGGCGCTTTCGAGCTCTCCCCCCCACAAACTCCAATATCCCTTAGTTAAGGAATATACCTTAAATCATAGTAGGATCCCTAAGATGATTTCAGGTATATTCCCTAATAAGGGATATTGGAGTCTCTGGAACCCCAGGTGCCAACTAGAGCTCTAAAGTTTAAACGCTGACTGACTGCTTTGAGTCTGAGGAACAGAAGCACAGTGAATCTCCAGGTCCCTTTGCTGCAGCCCAAGTGGGGTGCAGCCGCCTTGGATGCCGTTGCGACGGGGCTCCCAGCGTAGACCCTACTGACACACTACTTAACTGCTTAAACGTGATTTCCTCAAGCCATATGTGGGGGTTTCCGAAATAGGGGACCCTAATACAGTACCCTAAATAGTGGGATCCTTATTATAAGGACCCCAAAATAAGGTACCCCATGTAGCTGAAACAGTACGTTTTCATAGACATTGAGTTATAGCAGCGACGAATAAAGTCTTTGAATAGCCCAAGCCTTGAACCCAAACTCTTTTCAGATTCAGAGTCTCAGCCGATATGATCAGAAGTTGGGTCCATCACGTGTTTATGCGCGGATTGATGTTTCGAGAGGCGTTTTGGGGTTTTCGGGTTCATTTTCAGAGTTTCGAGGACTCATGCTTGTTTGGATCTTGCTTCTCACACACCATGAACAGCACGGCAGGAGTAACAAGTCTTCAATCCGAAGCCTAACCCCTTAAACCCTAAACCCAAAGCTCTACAGTCCTGTAAATAAAGCTCTGAACCCTACCTGGAAGTCTCCGAAACCCTAAATTCTCCGCAAAGTCCTGTTTACCCTGAACGAACCCTTTAATGAACCCTAAACTCCACAAGTTTTCAGACCTAAAGCCTAAAGCCTCCAAAGTTTCTAGACCTAGACCCTAAACGCTAAACCCAGAAGTTGCTAGACCTGAACCCTAAACCCCAGGAGTTTCTAGTCAAGAGGCCTCTGGCGGGCCGCACCTCGGGCACAGTCGAGGCTGTCTCGGCGAACATGCGGAGGCTCGCAAGCTTAGAGGATCATGGGACTTAGTAAGTAGGTTCTAATTGCGGTTATAAGTCCCCTAAGTGGGGCTTACTCTAATTATAACCTACTTATAACCTTACGTACTAAGTCCCATGAGCCTCCAAGAGCCGAGGGCAAGTGTCCAACAAGGAAGGGTTCAGGGTTTAGGGTTCAGGGGACGCTAGTATAGTAGGGTCCTTATGTAGGATTTTTATGAATAAGGACCCCAAAATAAGGTGCCCCAAATTTTCGGAAGCTCCCACAGGTCCAACAACGAATATCGAAGCCTACATACTTACAAACATTTCTCTTAGGGACCTAGGGTTGCCAATTATTGTTATAGTATTCAAGCCTACATAATCGCCAGCATTGCTCTAAGGGTTGCTTGTTGCTGTCAAATATTATCCAAGAGCCCAAGACCCTGTTCCAATTATTGAGGCCCCTACAATGGCGCGGGCTCCGGCATGGCAACAAAAGGGCTGGTTTAACAGAAGGCTTACTACGAGGGTCCTATAAGTCTACAAGGATGCTATAAGGAGTATAATGACTGTTAGCAGCTTACAGTGACTCGACCTTGGCGGACTACGTTCAACGCATCGGAATGGATTTGAACTATACTGGGCCCCAAACCCCTCAACTAATTGTTGAGGCCCCTTTGCGAAGTCCTATGATTGACGCGACTGCAGCCTTCCCTCCAAGAGCTACTATCTTCACGCATGGCAAGCCTCGGCTACTGTACCCTTAAATCGCTAGACCCCTAAACCCTCAAATCCCCCAAACCCCAAACCCTAAACCCTAAAACCCTAAACCCTAAACCCCCCAAACCCCCAAACCCTAAACTCCGAAACCATGAACCCCTAAACCCTAAAGGCCCAACAGCCTGAGCCAAGAGCTGAGCCCAGCCCAAAGTAGCGAAGGTGTGTCGGCCGATGGTGAGCCCAAAAAAGTTGGAACATAGATTCAGCATGATTCCATGGTAGGGTTCTATAGTGTACTAGCAAGCCCCAAAGTTGGAGAGCGGATGAAGGCCAAATAGTGCTGGGTTTCCCTATACTTCACTTTAAGAGCATGAGGCTAATGATGCTCCAACTTTCTGTACTACTGCAGAGTTAGGGTTTCTTGTCGGCCTTATGGCACAGTCTGGAATCCAAAACGCTAAAGCCCTACTTTAGGGGCCTCAATAGGGCTCCTTATGATAATTATACTACAATGGGCCCCAAAACCCTCTTCTGATTATTAAAGCCCCTACAATAGTACCCCTAAGACCTACATCCTCAGACCTTGACATGGGGGTTTCGTGCTGTGAAGCTTCGCTTCACGGGTCCGTCGTTTTGGGCCTACGGGGATTCGGAGCAGGTTCGGCGGACAGGTGATCTCCGTGGGGAAGCTGGACAAGTGCTTTGAAGGCTGGACGTGGAGGGTTTACGGTTTTGGTCTAGGGTTTGGTTTGGGCTTTAGGATTTGGGCTTCGAGGTCGGGCGTGGAGGGAATTGGGCTTCGAAGGTCGGGCGTGGAGGGTTGAGAGCCGTGGCGTCTAAGCAGGGTATTTCCGAACGGTCGGACGATCTGACATTGCGAAGCAAGGGGGGCGGGGTCTGGCTTAACGTTTCTTGGCATAAGTCGCTGCTTTCACCATAGTCGTACGCAGAACTGGAGAGAGAGAGCGGTTTGAGAGAACGGAACCTAACGAATGTGCGAACACAAGCCACGAAACCGTACCAAAGTCACCGAGAAAGGTTTTCTTGAGAAGGCAGTTCTAGAATTACGTTTCCTGGGAGCCCAGTGATTTTCAGTTTTGCTTTTCTTGTGGGTTCGGTTGTGGTCACTATTGCGGTGTGGGGGCAGTGGCCTACATATATATTCATGTATGTATGTATGCATGTATATGTGTATGTATATGTATATATATATATATGTACATGTGTATATGTGTATATGTGTATATGTGTATATGTGTATATGTGTATATGTGTATATGTGTATATGTGTATGTGTGTATATGTATATATGTATATATGTGTATATGTGTATATGTGTATATGTGTATATGTATATGTATATGTATATGTATATGTAAATATACATATACATGTACATGTACATGTATATGTATATGTATATGTATATGTATATGTATATGTATATGTATATGTATATGTATATGTATATGTATGTGTATATGTGTATGTGGATGTGTATGGATAGCTGGCTAGCTAGCTAGCTCGAAAGATAGATAGATAGATGAGTTTAGTCGTTATACATAGACACCCTAGCAAAACCCTTTGAAACCCTACGCCCTAAACCCTAAGCCCTTCGAAACCCTAAACCCTAAGCCCTTTGAACCCTAAACCCTAAACCCTAAGCCCTTTGAAACCCTAAACCCTGGGCCCTAAGCCCTTGACCCTAAGCCCTTCGAAACCCTAAACCCTAAGCCCTTTGAGCCCTAAACCCTAAGCCTTAAGCCCTTTGAAACCCTAAACCCTAAGCCCTTTGAGCCCTAAACCCTAAGCCCTAAGCCCTTTGAAACCCTAAACCCTGGGCCCTAAGCCCTTGAAACCCTAAACCCTAAGCCCTTCGAAACCCTAAACCCTAAGCCCTTTCAAACCCTAAACCCTGGGCCCTAAGCCCTTTGAGCCCTAAACCCTAAGCCTTAAGCCCTTTGAAACCCTAAATCCCAAGCCCTTTGAACCCTAAACCCCCTAAGCCCTAAGCCCTTTGAAACCCAAGACCCTAAGCCCTTTGAACCCTAAACCCCCTAAACCCTAAGCCCTTCGAAACCCTAAACCCTAAGCCCTTTGAAACCCAACCCTAAGCCCCTTTGAAATCCAATCCTAAGCCCAAAACCCAACCCTAAGCCCTTTGAAACCCACCCTAAGCCCTTTGAAACCCAACCCTAAGCCCTTTGAAACCCAACCCTAAGCCCATTGAGCCCACAAAGCCCTTCGAAGGCCTCGGCTGGGCCGGGAGCCTCAGCCTGGGAAGCTCCCGGAGGCACCCACTGCACCGTCGAGGATCCGGGCTAGCAGAAGGGCCCTGACCCCTAAAATTGTCGAAGGGGAAAAGGAGGGACCCTTAATGGGGACCCCTACCCTATAATGGGCTATATAATAGCTATATTAAGGGTATATACCTAGGGGTCCTTTGAAATTGCCTAAACCCCCAAACCTAAACCCCTGAACCCATGGAAAACCTTAAGCCAAGAGCTTTGAATCCCTGCCCTGATAAACCGACACTCCCAAGCTCCGAAGATTTATTTCCAAACCTCGAATCCGTACAGCCCTGACTTTAATTTCCCCAGACCCCCTGAACACCCCAAAGAGAAGCCTTAAACCCAAAACACTTCCGTCAAGCGTAAGTATTTCAAGAGACCGTGAAGCCCAAACCTTCATCCCGCAACCCTAAGCCCGCAATCCCCAAACTTTCGAGCCCTCACCCCTAAACCCGACACGCTGAACGACACCAACGACGACATGAACCTTGAAAGAGTTCAAGGTTCAAATTCATCGTGCGAGTGTGTAGGGGCCTCACTTTTAAGGGTCATGTGGTCCTTACTTAAGGTAGACCTTAAGCCCTAGACACCCAACATGCTTTAAAATAACCTTAAGGACGACCTCGCACCGCGCGACGCGCTGCTGGTGACAAGCAGCCTCGGTGACCTCGTTGAGGCCCTTTCGTTTGGGTCTTTAGATTTTGGGTTTAGGCTTTCCCTTGCAAGGTACCGCCAGGCAGTTTGTTATTAGAAGGTTCAGGCTTCAGGTTTGTTGTTGGGTTCAGGGTTTCAGGTCTCCGGCTTTTTTCATTCCAGTTTCGATAGGGCTCAAAAGCCCTGATTTTTGAGCCCGACAGATAAGAAGTTGAGTTCATGGGTTCAAGGCCCAAGCAGAAGCAGGATCTGGATTGAACTTCGCGAGTTTGGGTGGTTCAGCCTAGGGGCTGGAGGAGTTGAATTACTGCTACGATTCCTTGAAGTTCTTTCATGCTAACCAGACGACAAGAAATCCTGAAGCTTCTTCGTCTGATTCCTTACTTGAAGGCTCATGGGACTTAGTAAGTAAGGTTATAAGTAGGTTATTATTAGGATAACCCCACTTAGGGGACTTATAACCCCAATTATAACCTACTTACTAAGTCCCATGATCCTCTAAGTAGGGTCCTTGATTCGTTCAAGGGAAGCCTGGAGTCTCCCGGGAGGCCACAGCTCTGAGAAACTGCAGGGAACTCATGCGCCCTTTTGTATAGAAGAGCTCGTTTTTTGAAGCATAGTTTAGCGGTCAGACAAATCTTTGATAGTATATCTCCCCTCATTAGACATAGTTCCGATATGACATATTGCCGTATACCCACAGCCTTACTGCATTTCGAAAGGCCCCCATATTAGAAGCCTAAACTTCGAGGATGCTAAGCCGACGCGTTGACTTCCGAGCCATGCCCGAAGCCCTAGACCCCAACCCCTAGGCCCTAAACAAACCCTACGGTGTAAACTCTAGGCCTTAAGCCCTAAGCCCTAAACCCTCAATCGCAAACCCGTAACTAAACTCCAAATCCGCCCCGAGGCCTCTCAGGTGGGTACCGACGTGCCTGGGCGGGCGGAGGGTTTCGGTGTAGTATCGAAGCTATAGTATAGTCATTGTAGTTCTGCTCTCTTTTGATGAAAGGGTTCCTTATACTTGTTTTTTTTTTTTTTCTCGCTGTGGTCATTTCTAGTATTACTACGATCATTACTATAACACATATGTTGTTGTGATGGCAACCGGTCTTGGAGACGAGAGTCTTAGGGTTTTTTCTGTAAAGGATGGCGGCATCGTCCGGAGAGTTTCGATGAATGTTGCGCGATGTTCTGGGGTTATAAGAAATCGCGTGTAGCGCTGTGAGAGACTTGGTGTTGGGCGTTTTTGCTGGTCCAGCGCACATTTGTCTTTTCGGGCGGGCAAGTTCTGGGCCGGGAATGTGCACGCCGATTCGCGTTTAGAGGTGAGAAGGTGCCGGGCTGGCTTCAGATTTCAGTGCAAGGTGCTGCTGCTGTTTGGCAGTCGTGATGGCCTCAGTTCCTGTCCAAGCATTCGATGATGCTCCCAAGAAGCTTTAGGATTTCGCCTGCTCCCAGATACCACACCCCAAAACACATGCACAGCCTTGTGGGCCTAGTGTTATAACTTGGATGCTGCAACCTACAAGAAGCACGCAGAAACCCCCAACCCTAAACCCTAAACCCCCAACCTTAACCCTAAACCCCAAGAAGCCGGAAGCTTCAGGAGCTGAAGGTGCCCCGCACTCGTGTGAAATCAGGATGATAGTCTTGTGCCCGACACCCCAAAGGACAGCCATGGACAACCCGAAGCCCTCCACAACCAGGAGATTTTCTCGTTTTCCGAAGAACGTAGGAGCCTTGATGATTTGAACAGGGTGTTGCGAGTATATTATACTTTACTTATAAGAAGGAGCCTTATGGAATGTTCACCAAAAACGAAAACAGACATCCAATAAGAGCCTTCTTCTAACGAAAGAGGAGGGCAGTGCACATTGGAAGCCTTTCCTCAGTAGAAGGCCAAACAAAGCAACCACTGCTAACTCGAGATGCGAAAGATGCACTCAAGCTTTGTTTATCTCTACCAAAAAATCCTGAGTCCTGAGCAGGTGCAAAAAGGAAACCACACCTGTTGAAGATCCCCAACCCTAAACCCTAAACCCCAAGCCCTAAACCCTGAACCCCAAGCCCTAAACCCTAAACCCCAAAACTCAACCCTAACCACCAAAACCCAACCCCAAACCCTAAACCCTGAGCCCTAAGCCTGAAGTTGGTGCCTACTGCATATGGCCCAATAGACTCCCAAGCCCTTCCGACTTCGAGTTTGGAGGGAGCCACCCCAAGCCCTAATCCCTAAACCCCAAAGCCCTAACACAAAACCTTAAACCCTAAACTCAAAAACAGAGCTCCCATCCCTAACGCCTAAACCCTATACTACCAGTATCGTAACGCTTATAGATCCCTTAAAGGAACCCCTCAACTCCAAGCCCTAACCCCTGAAACGGATGAAGCCTGCGAGGTGCGCAGTCAGAGCTCACGGCCTGGCGTCAGGTCTTACCGGCCCGTGCCTTTCGGGGGTGGGAACCTTAAGGGAACCTTAAGGGATCCTTAGGGGATCGTTAAGGTAAGGGAACCTTAAGGGAGCCTTGGGGGATCCTTAAGGGGACCTTAAGGGGACCTTAAGGGAACCTTAAGGGAGCCTTGGGGGATCCTTAAGGGAACCTAAAGGATCCTTAGGGGAACCTTAAGGGAACCTTAGAACCTTAAGGGAACCTTAGGGATCCCTGATCTGGCATCCTCAACTTGGAGTTTCATGGGTATAGTAAAAAGGTGGGTTTTAGGTTCCCTAATATGGGTTAAAAGTTACAAGTATAGTTACCCTACGTACAACCCCACTAATATCTGCCCACGAACCTCCAAATAAGCTTTCTATAGGGTTTCTGGAGGTTCCTATAAGGGGTTGCTATACGGTTTCTAGAGGGGGGTCATAGGGTTCTGTGATTTTCCTGCTGAGGTGTTAGTGGAGTTCACTCTAGAGCCAGCCGGTTTCGCACACAACCCGGCCGAGGGACTCCAAAATAGTTTGGCTCAGGAATAGTCTTGTGATTTTTGACATAGCAACGCGAAAAACGACTTTCATGCAACCAGTTCGCAATGGTTTACGGTTTTTGAGTTTGGGGTTTTGGGTTTAGGTGTTGTTTGGGTTAGGGCTTATGGCATTTCCTCTCGTGAAAGAACCCTGAAATCAGAGATATTGGGGCCTTTGTGTGATCTGCCAGATTCGCACGCAGCAGCGCGAGGAGAAGAGGAAGAACTTGTCTGTGCCAGGAGCACGGCCTAGGGGCTTGCTTGGGGTGAGAGGTTCATCATCAGAGGTGTGTAATGCAGCGGTCGGAGTAGTTAATAATTCATAGCTCTTCTCACGGCGCCTCCCTAAACCCTAAACCCTAAACAGTGATGGGGAGAAAAGGAGCTCAACACAAAAAACCCTAAATAGTTGTGAGGTACTATGCTCCCAGAAGCCCGGTTCTTTTTTTCAGCCCCCTGACATGAAGCTTCGATCCAGAGCGTCTTACCCCCAAAACTTTCAGTCTTCCCGGTCGTCCTTGCACCATGGGCTCCTTTTAAGGGATTCTTTCAGGGTTCCTTTTTTGGGAAAGGATCTTTAGACTCGGAGAGAGCTTGGCAAGCTTGCATAGAGAGTTTTTATAAAAACCCTCTACATTGGGCAGCCGTGGATTCAACGACCGGGAAATCGGACAGAGACTTTTAAGAGAATTCCAGCTGATGCTGATGATGCTCGTGCTGCGCTTCGCTAAATCCTACAAAGCAACGAGTGGAACTGCTACGGCAGCCGTAGGTTCACCGGCCGGGAAATCGGACGGAGAGCTCGAAAAGAAATCCCGCTGATGCTGATGATGCTGGTGCTGCGGTTCGCTGAATCCCTACGTTGCTACGGCAGCCGTGGATTCAACGGCCGACAGAGAGCTCGCGAGGAAATCCAGCTGATGCTGATGGTGCTCGTGCTGCGGTTCGCTACATCCTTCCAATCAATGAGTTCAACTGCTACGGCTCAGGGCTACGAGGGTTCCTTGTGGGGTACACGGGTTCTTTTAAGGGAACCACAAGGCTTCCCTAGCAAGCCACTTGGAGGGGCAGGGGGCTTAGTAAGTAGGTTATAAGTAGGGTTATAATTGGGGTAACTCCATGTAGGGTATTTATAACTCTACTGATAACCTACTTACTAAGTCCCCTGCCCTTCCAAGCAGGATTCCGAAAGCTTAGAGAAGCTGCCCTCCCAGGTCCCAGCGTGTCTCCGAGGACTCGCCGGGTTTGATGGCCGCCGCCCGGGCTCTCAGACGGGCCTTGGTTCGGTGGAGCTTTAAGCTTAAACCCTGAGACACTCATAGAACTTTTAAAGGAGCCCCTTAGAGGGGTGGGGCCGTGAAGGAACCCTCAAAGCAGGCCTACGACCTTGAGGCTCAAACCCAAACTTTAAACTATATAAGACTATACTATAGTTAGTTACAGTATTTTAGGCTGTATGATACTATTATATGATAGTATGATATGTTGTAGCAAAGTATAGAAAACTGCAGGAAGTGCAGTAGAGCATAGTTGTAGAAACCTAAACCCTAAACCCCAAACCTGGTTCATCCTGGTAAGGAATTCCAACTCTTCGGCAGTCGGAAAAGAGCCCTCAAAAAAAAAACAAAACCAAACCCCTAAACTAAGAAGCCCTAGTACAAGCTCGACTTTCGGGCTCCTTCTGAGGCCACGAACCCTTTCCTCTCGGTGTTTCAGCTACCGAGCCTCCTGGCCGAGGCGCTGGGCCTCGGCTTTTGGGCTTTTGGGCCGTTTAGGGCGTTTAGGGTTTGGGGTCTAAGCTTTAGGGTTTCGGGTTCAGGCTTTAGGGTTTAAGGTTTAGGGTTGGGTTTAGGCTTTAGAGTTTAGGGTTTAGGGTCTAGGCTTTAGGGTTTGGGATTGGGGTGTAGGGTTTAGGGTCTTGGGACCCTATCGTATTCTAGGATCCCTATAGGACCTTATAGCCCCCTTTGCAGGATTATTCTAGAACCCTGCGGTCCCCTTCATCGAATTGGATGATTAGATATTGTAGGACCATATTACGGGACCCTGGTATAGAACCCTGCAGCAACCGCTTTTCAGGCGCTGTAAAGGTGAGGTTCCGTCTCTGCTTACCGTGTGCAGGGTTTAGGGTGAGGATGTGGCGTTCCGACGCCCTGAAGTGCTTCTTGTAGTTACAGCGGTGTTCCGGGACCATGCTCCCATTGGCACTTGAGAGTCAGAAAGCCTAGCGCTTAGCATGCTTTTGGGGTTCAGAACAGGGTCTTGCTTTATCTGTTTGAGAAGCTTCCTGCGTGTATGCTCCGCCTGTCTCGTGAGGCGACGGCGAAAAATCTGAAGCACCGGGAGAAGCAGAAGGACCTACACAGTGCACGAGGTTCGTAGTTCTCTAAAGTAGGGTCCCAATATAGAGGGCTCTCTCTCTCTCTCTCTCTCTCTCTCTCTCTCTCTCTCTCTCTCTCTCTCTCTCTCTCTCTCTCTCTCTCTGTAAGAGTGAGTGCAGAAACTCTTGTCGCCGAGCCGCCCAGTTCAGAGCATCTGATCAAGAAGCCCTATGCTGCGAAGCGCGATAGCAGAACCCTTGAAACGGGCTTTCAACGTCCTTGCAAAAGAAACTTTCGATCAACCCGAAGGAGCGACAGCAAAAGGCTGCAAGCGCCGCCGCTGCCCGTTCTGCCGTCGGATTTGAGGAGGCCATTTGCCTGTAGAAAGACCGCTTTGCTGTGGGTTTAGGGTTTATGGTTGTGGGTTTAGGATTGTGGCTTTGGGGTTTAGGGTGCTCGAAACCGTCAACACTCACGGAAGGTGTCGCATTTGTTTCATGGGTTTGGGGTGAAGTTGAAGGATCCCCAAAACCCGAAGCATGTGACTCAAAGCCCCAAGCCTTCAACTACTGTAAACCCAAGACCCTAACCCTCAAGCCTTAAACCCTAAGGCCATAGACCCTAAACCCTAAGGCTCTAAACCCTAAACCCCCAACACACACTCCGTGACATCCACACCTTCTACACCTAATACCCTCAACCCTGAACCCTAATTTGTGTCAAAGGTGCGTTCTTGGTCCCCAAACAAACTTCAACGCCCTTGGCAGACCTCAGACGAAAGGTTTATGGGTTTAGGGTTTAGGGTTTATGATTTAGACCTTCGGGTTTCCGGGGTTTAGGGTCTAGGGTCCCTTACATGTCGCCCAGGAAGAGGGGGAAGACTGAAACTCCTGCGGTGGCCTGTTGTTCTACTGGGTCCAGGACCTCCGGAATGAGTACCCTTAAAAAAAAACCCTAAACCCTAAACCTTAAACCCTAAACCCTAAACCGAACCCTAAACCCTAAACCTTAAACCCTAAACCCTAAACAGGGATCCCTAAACCCCGTAATCAGGGCTTGCGACACCCCTGGGCCCTGAAGCCCGAAACCGTTCAGGTTTCGAAATTCAGAGAGACAGCTCCACCTGTTCTTAATTGGCCCCCATAAACGCCCTTACAGAGCACTACGCCTAAGCCCAAAGCTTTGATACGCAGAACCATGTAAAATCCGTAAAGAACCTGTATAAAAGGCCCTTAAACATGTAAACCTAATTAAACACCACAAAAACGAACCCTGACTACGTGGTAAGAGTTCAGGCGCCGGAAGTTCCGGTCGACTCCGACACAGACGTGGACATGACGGAGCTGCTGGGAGACTGGTGGGGGCCTCTACATCAGGGCTACTGTAAGCGTTGCTGTACTCTAGGGACCTCAATAAATAGAAATACAATCTTGGGGGTTCCTTATCATTGCTGTACCATCTTATAAATGATTAAGACCCTGCATTAGTGTCTTACGGTTTTGGATCTGGGGGTTTGGGGTTTTGTGTGTTGGGCTTTCGTATGTCGGATGTAGCCTTGGGCATGAAGTTTAAGGTGAAGGTCGTTCCGCTTAGAAGTCAGTGTTCGTGTCCTACGTTACGGTCCAGCACTTGGGCCCAGAATCCAATACATAAAGCTTTAAGGGGCTATTTTCTGTTTGCTAATTGGTTCCAAGGGCGGGTTTGGCCAGTGGATACTTGGATCTTCATGGGGTGATCACCCTAAACCCCACAGTCAACCCAGACCCTAAACCTTAAACCCTACACCCTGAACCCTAGGCCCTGCGCCCTGGAGTCTAAACCCTCAACTTGACCCTACACCCCAAACCCTTAGGGTTCAGGGGTTTAGGGTAGGGTTCGGGGTTTAGGGGTTTAGGGTTTAGGGGTTTAGGATAGGGTTTGGGGCTTAGGGTTCAAACTTAACCCAAACCCTAAACCCTGGATCCTCGAGCTTAAACCCTCAATCCTCAGGTGCCAGGCCATGCGCGTGGAGAAGCCAATTGCCTTGGTCTGGCGCTCAGTATATAACATGAAGAAGTATCTAACAAGAGTATAGCATAGTAATATGATACAATGAAAGTGAAATATCATAAAATCTGAAAACAATACTGGACTTTTGAGTTCTGGGTCCAACATTTGGAGCCGACGCATGCAGGCATTGTGGAGCGTGCCTCGGGTTCCAGAGGTTTAGGGTGCGGTTTAGGGGGTTCAGGGTCACAGGTTCAGGGTTTTGGGCTTAGGGTTCAGGGTTTAGGGGTTCTGGGTTTGGGGCTTAGGGCTTAGGGTCTAAGGGTTTGGGGTTTAGGTTTTAGGTTTCAGGGGAGGGGGAACTCCGGAGCTCTAGGAGTAAGAGGAAGGCTGTAAAGACGCAAGGGCTTTCGCCCGCTGATCAAGGCCGGACGTGGAGTTTGGATCTTGCAAGCACCGCTGCACCGCACACTCACTAGTCACTAGTCATCCTGGTAGCTTCTATTTCACTTCTAGCAGGATCATCTTTCACGGTAGGTCTCCTTCTTCGTTTTGTTTTTGGTTTTGTGGCGATTCCTGTTCTGGCGTGACCGTCAATGGAAGTTTCGTGGTACTTGATTGTCGCTATGAAGGAAGGAGCCGGGGCTTTCCGAGACCAAGGGCGATCCGTTTTGAGTTCCTTTATCAACTGCGTCCGCAAGCTTGAACAAACAAATGTAAGATGCGCACTTGGCCATTGGCCCATGGCCTCCCTAATTTTTCTGTAGTGTACCGCAAAACTCTGCCCAAATCAAGCTGTTCCGGCCCCTATAAAGAGACATGGGGCTGGGATTCCCGCTACTTCACCTTAAGGTCATGAGGACAATGATGCTCCAACTTTGTAGGCTTCTACTGTAATATACCCCAAATACCCACTATTAAGGGCCATAAGGCCTCCATTAAAGGGCCCTGGGGAAAGAACTTGGTGTAACCCCAGATGAAGCCCGCATCAGTGGTCTGGGATGGCTCGGAGAAGGATTTCCGATTCAAGCGTGTTTGCGGGCAAGGGGAGGGGAAGGGATTCTTTGGTTCTTTCGGGATTTTTGGGGCCTGGCGTGTCTTTTTGTTGTTGCTTATGTTGCTTCTTTGGTTTCGGCCTGGGTGTTCGGTAGGTCCGAGGGATTGTTTTGTCACGTTTCTGTTGAAATCCTGATCCGCCCACCACGGCTGCAAACCCTTCCTGGGGAGTTTACTGTGGGTTGTTCTTTCGTGGTTCAGAGTTTTGAGGTTCAGGGTCTAGGGTGTTTAGGGGGCTTAGTTTAGGTCTGCAAGTGTCGCAAGTGGGCTTGCTCGGGTTGTGCCGCGTCTTCTATGTTAGGACTCAGATGGCTGATGCTTTGATAAGTATGGCATTAAAAAGTATCTACTAAGCAGTTCACCTATCTATCTAAATCCTAACCCTGACAAACAGGTTGGACTCCAGCTCTTCGCAGCAACAGTTGCCCTAGGTGGCCCATATCATCTTAGAGCTGAGCTCAAACGCCTACAGCATCCTACAATGCTAAACCACCGAAGCCGTAAATTCCCCAATGCTAGACATACCCTAAACCCTAAACCCTAAACCCCCGGCAACTTTCCTAAAGCCCCCAAGGCCGAAGCCTCGAGCGCAGGAGTCGCGGCCAAAGCGCCGCGTGGTGGTGCCTTCGGCACCGCGAGCTGCCGAGCCGAAGTTGGAGGCTTCAGCGATTTCTGCTGGGGGTTGGGGCTTTAGGCTTCAAGCTGTGGAGTTGAGGGGGTATTCCAGGGGTTAGTTCAGGAGGTAGGGTTAGACTTAGAGGGTGCAGATATCCACAGTATGGGAACTTCTTTTTTGTTGTTGATCTTGCTCTGCTGGAATCAGGAAGAGACATGGTGGGCATCAGACCTTAAACCATAAAAACCGTAAACCCTAAACGCCGAAAGCCCTAAATCCTAAATCTCAGTCGGGGGATGGGAGTTGATGGCTGGTGGGTTTTCTTGGGTCGCGGTAGTTCGGAAGTGCGCAAGATCACAAAGCCTTTCTTGGAGGTTCGTGGGTAGCTGTAAGTGGGGTTGTAAGTTCCCTAAGAGGGGTCATAGTTAAAAACCCAACCCCCAGAAAGCTTTGCTCTAAGGCTGAGTCCGTTTCTTGGTGGGTGGAGCAACCAGAAATCCGAGCCCTGGACCCTGCAAACAAATCACGGACGCATTGCGAGCACGCCTCCGAAGCGTACTGATATTTACTTAGTATGCATTTTTGGTACATCAGTAGTTTTGTTTGCAGAATGTTTTGATTAATACGTAATGCTATTGTTGCTATAGTCATTATTGTTACTACTAGTACTACCATTCTCATGATTGACATTTCGATGTTTTCTCCCTATTGTCCTTGCTAGTTCTGCCGATGAACTCGAAACCCTATACCCTAAACCCTAAACCCTAAACCGTCCTTGCTAGTTCTACCGACGTCCACGGCCAGGCACCAAAGCCGCCGGAGCCCGCAGCAGCTGAGCACAGGGCCGAGATATCCGTCTGCCGGGGGCGTTTCCGGAAGGGGATCCTTTGCGGGTTACTAGAACAGTTATACTTTAGAAGGGGCCCCCACCCTGTAATAGTGGTAAAATAGGAATATAATAGGGCCCTAATATAATCCTTATACTCACTATTACAGGGTGGGGGCCCCTCCTAAATTATGCTATAAAGCTACTATGGTACTATGGGGTGCGGGGTTTCGGGTTCTAGAGTTTTCCCAGTAAAGAATAGGCAGACCGGGGGCCATCTTCAAGCAGTTCTGGACTGGAGTGGGTTTCGGAGTGTGGAGTTTAGAATGTCAGGGTGATTGGGGAGTGTCAGTACACTTTGATCCCTAAACCCTAAAACCTGAAAAAAAAAACCATACCCTGAACCCTAAAAAGCTCCAAGCTCTAAACCCTAGGATCCTTTATCAGTGACCTGGCATCTGAACCCTGAAGCCTTCAAGCCCTGACCCTTCAATGAATCCTCGGAATCCTCAAACCCCGAGTTCTAAAGCCCACTTAAAAAAGAGCCCGTCAAGTCTACACCCTCAGCAGCGACGCGAATCTCTAAAGCCCAACGGCCTGAACCCCCCAAAACCAAGGCCCTAAACCCTATACTCTAAACCCTAAACCCTATACCCTTAACCCTAGACCCAAAACCCTATACCCTAAACCCTAAACCCTAAACCCTAAACCAAAGCACGTTTTAGAAACGAACCCAGCTCCTCGAACCGCGGAGCCGTATCAATGCCCAAGTCTCGGGCTTCAAATCTGCACCCCAAAAGCCCTTATCCTTAGGGTTTTTAGGGTTTAGGGTATAAAGTATAGGGTTTTCTTAGGGTTTTAGGGTTTTAGGGTTTAGGGTTTAGGGTATAGGGTCAAGGGTTTAGGGTTTAGGGTTAAGAGTATAACCTCCGACCCCCCTAAGCCCCTAAACCCTGCACCCGAAACCCCACAACTCCGAGGCCTACTTGGAGGTTCATGGGTAGTTATGAGTAGGGTTATAAGTAGGGTAACCATAGTCAGTTATAGCCCATATTAGGGAACCTATAACCCCATTTATAACTACCCATGAACCTCCAAGTAAGCCCCAAAGCCCAAACCCGAGGCCCGAATCGCTTGAGAGCTTGATGCAGCAACTCAGCGGGGACGGAAAACGCTCTGCACACCATAGGGTTCAGGGTTTAGGGTTTAGGGTTTAGGGGTTTAGGGTTTAGGGGTTGGGTTCGGGTGCGGAAGGTAGCATAAGGGCCTTAATAATGGAGTCGGGTTTCGGGCTACATGCTAGTGCTAGTATATTGAGACCCAGGAGCCCTGAGGAAGAGTACTACGAATCCGTCAGGCTTGTATGCTATGTAGGATACAAGACCCCTCTTGGAACGACGCGGGTTTGGTGGGTGGGTTTGTTGTGGTGAAGTTGACCGCTTTGGTATTTGAAGCACATGTAAGGACAGAATCGTGGCGACGCGCGCAGGAGAGATCTGTGTATTAGGTAAATTTGCCACTGATGTCGTCGTCATGTTGTGGTGGGATGTTGTGGTGGACTCTTTATTCATTCCGGATATGCAAGGTAGTCTTCTTCCCAAGCTTAAATTCGGGGCAGTGACCCTAATGAAGGGACCTGCTAAATAAACCCTGATTCCGTAACACCAAAGTAGTAGGATTCATACAAGGAACCCTAATAAAGGTCCAAGGTTTCTCAATCAGGTTCCCACATTAGACTACATAACGAATCTGCGCAAGCAGACGGGCTGGCTCGGAAGGTTCTTTGGTGAAGGCAGGGCCACAATACTACATTCACTCGAATCCCTAAGCCCTACACCCTAAACCCCCGAACCTTGAAGCCCCTAAACTCACATGCATGGTGAACGCGCAGAAAGTTACCCCAAGTCTGGTGCCATGAGCGATCCTTTTTACAAGAACTCCTAATGTTTTTGCCCCGGTGATCTCCAATGGAGCCAGTCAACATTCCAACATTTTTCAATCTTCTCCCCGAAGCTGCTCCAATCGACAATGCCTACACTCCAACATTTTTCCCAAACCCTAAACTCGACACCTTAAACCCTAAACTCGAAATCCTAAGCCCTACACCCTAAGCCCCTAGAGTACCCTGAAGGTAACCCGTATAGATCCCTTAAAGGAACCCTAAGCCCTACATAATTCCTAGCCCTAACCCTCAAGTCTTCAGCCCTTCAAGCGCGATGGGCGTGGCCTGAGAGGACCTCGGGCAGGCCCGAAGGGGCTGAAGAGGGGCGTCAGTTACCCAGAGATCTTAATGGTTTACTAGTACCCTTTAATTCAGGAATCTACATTCGATTAGAAGCTCGAAACCCCAAAGCCCCTCATTCCTAGAATACTTTTAGGAGCCCCTAAGCCTGAGCTTAGACCCCTTAACGCGTATTCCCAGAGATACCCCTTAATTCAGGAATATACATTAAAGTAGAAGGGGTTTCATTCTGATTTGAGGTGAAGTCTTTGGTTGAAGGATGCTGGGCTTTCTGGGTACCCAAAGGTTGCCAAGCCATAAACAATTTTGGGATTATTTCATTTCTTAACACATGAGGGGTAACTAAGGGGGTGCTACTATTAACGTGAACGCTGTGCAAAGTAATGTAAGACTAGGTGCCCACTCCTCCCCTTGGCTACTCAAACGGCCACGCAAAAATGTCCATTATCATTCAAGCAACTTGCAACTTTGTCTTAGGGTTCCTTATAAAGGACATATATCGTTCTCAGGGTTCCTTATTAAGGATATAATTGCTCTTAGGGTTCCTGATGAAAGGATATATTGTTCTTAGGGTTCCTGAAAAAGGATATATTAGGTTTAGGGTTGACGGTGCAGCATCTTTGGGGTTTGGGGCTCAAGATGTAGAGTTCGGGATGTAGGGAAGGATGTTTTAGATGTTTCGGCCTGGGGTTTATGCAGAATGTTTTGAGGTTCCCCCAGCAGTTGTTACTATGATTACTGTTATTACTATTAGATACCATCATTGTTATATTGTTGTGGGGCTCAGAGCTCAGAGTTCAAGCGTTGGATGCCGGTGGGTGGGAGTTTGCCGTGGCAGCTGGCGACCGGCGCGAGTTCGGAATCACATGGGTGGTTGTGAGAATTAGGGTCCCTATTCGGGCCCTGATTATCATACGGCACCTAATATTTAGGGTATCCAACAGGGGACCTTAATTTTGACAACCACCCACATGCACGGGCGATCCCCAGATTCTAAATGTAAGGGCTTTTTATATTAGCAGTAAGGAGCCCTAAACAATGTACCTAGAACATGCGGACACCGTCGTATACTTAGTTAAGGTTTCCTGCATGGTTTGATATAAGAGTCAGAATAATTAATACGGTTCTACCCTTACAGCCGCTTTATACTTAAAGGACAATACGCCCCAAAACCTTGTTCTACTTTCTTTAGACTCTTCCCATAGTATGCGTTCGGTGGGGTTCCGGCCCCGGTTGCAGGTTTTGCGAGTTTGAGGCTTCCGGTTTGGAAGTCGTCTTCCACGACTTCGGACTTCGCGCTTCCCCTAGTAGTAGAGTAACCTTTTTGGGGGTAGTATAGTCCCTATATAACCAAGAAGGTTAACCTTTAGTCACCCAGGTTCCTTTCTCGAAGCATTTTCCAATCGCAAAGTACTGCTCGTCGCAAGAGCGTCGAGTCACACACCGTCAGCGATTCACTCACTCGTGCCGGCTGCCGCTGCCCAGACGACGTCCCAAGCTCCACACACGCAATGAGCACGGTTTTCAGCAGTTCAGTTACATAACGGTCAGTAGCACCTAGATTTTAGATGTTTTGGACTATACACCATACCAACAAGGTCGGCACAACGCTGAAGGTTATGCGCTCCAGGTCTTGCCGTGGCATGGAAACATGAGCCGCGAAAGTTTGTTTTCGATATCCAGGAGCGTCGTCGGTTAATCCTGCTGGCGGATTAGGATCTAGGGTTTCACCGACTTCAGTTGACCGTACCAGGATGCGTCGGATCGTCCTCCTTAGTTCGTGTACCCTAAACCCTAAACCCTAAACCCTAAACCCTAAAATCGAGTCGCTTTGTGTTCGAACCCTGGGATCGCAAGACCCGGAACTCAAAGTGTACTCGAACTGAAAAGCTTTTTGGTGACTAGAAGTCTCCTCTAAACAGAAACCGTAGAGTAGCGTGGAAAGAACAGTACAGGTTCGAATGATTCAAGAAAAGCGTTGTCAGCATGGCCCGGGATGCGTTTTTTGCCCATAATGGGCCTTGAATGGTTATGTAGGATGGGATTATGCTTGTGTTTTTGCCGATTAGGGGCCAAATCCAATACCCAAGACTGCGCAAGTCCGAATCTTGCAATTGCCCTGCACCTCTACACCCCTACACCCCTGCACCCCTAAACTACAACTCACCCAACTCCCCAAATCCTCAGCCCAAAACACCACCAACACCCCAAACTCTACAAGACCTACGCCCCAAACGCCAAGAACCCTAAGGTTCCTAAGCCGCCAACCCCAAATCTTTGAACGGGCTAAACCTTAAAAACCCCTAAACCCTAAACCCCTAAACTCTAATGAACCCCGAAACCCTAAGCTCTAAAAAAGTCCTAAGGTCTTAAAAAAAGAACCCCGAAACCTTAAAAAGGCCAACCACCTGCCATGGTCACCGCAGCCAAGGCCTGGCTCGGGCTCCGGATTTCAGAGTTTTGCTTGGGGGTTGGAAATGCTTGGAGCTATCAGAAGTAGTATAGGGTCGAGGGTTTTGGGTTTAGGGTTTAGGGAGCATCTTCTGATATTGACTAACTTGATAATTTTTGCTGCAATATAAGCTAGCACCACATGTAAGGTTCCTTTGCGATGAAGGCTGTACGTGCGTGTGCGTGCGAGTGTGTGTGTGTGTGTCTCTGTGTGTGTGTGTGCGCGTGTGCGCTTGTTTCTGCTTATATATATATATAATAAATGAATATATATATATATATATATATGTATGTGTGTGTGTGTGTGGACGTCGATATGTGTATGTAAAAAATGTGCTGTGATTGTAAAATAAGGTATGTGCTGGAATGCAAAGTGGAGCAACGTTCCTTATGTTTATGTGCGCTATGGCGCTATGTGATGTTACGTTGTTGTTAGTTTCAAACCTGCACCCTCTGTGCTCTGCTATGCTCTGCTCTGCTACACTGTGCTATGCTGTGTCAAGATATGTCATGTTATGTCACGTTGTTTTATGTTAGATAGTGTTATGCAACATGCTTATATGTTCTTTTCATGCTATTCTTTTCTCTGCTATGCCATGCTGTGCTATGCTATGTCGTGATAGAATATGCTTTCCTGTGTTGGGTTACGTCATGCTTGTTATGTTGTGGTTCCTAGTATAATGTAAAGTAGTAGAATGCACTGTAACGGAGTGTAGTGAAGTGCAGTGTAGTGTATAGTGTAGTGTGATGTCATATCATGCCATGTCATGTCCTGAAATGTAATGATGTTGCTTCACCACTGTTGTTATTACGTGCAGAGTGTGATTACGTACCTTTGAGCATGATGGGTATCGAAACTCTCTATGCATAGCTAATATATAGCAAGAACAGGAAGTCTTAAACCTTCAACTCAGAGCCCGAGACACTAAACCCCTAAGCCCCTAAACCCCTAAACCCTAAACCCCAAACCCCTAAACCCTGAACCCTAAACCCCTAAACCCTAAACCCCTAAACCCCTAAACCCCTAAACCCCTAACCCCTGAACCCTAAACCCCTAAACCCCTAAACTCCTAAACCCTAAACCCTTATCACCGGGGCCCCGAGCCCAGAGCCTCTACAGGCAGACCCTTTATGTGGGGACTTTCATAAGCCTTACTTAGAGGATCATGGGACTTAGTAAGTAGGTTATAATTGGGGTTATAAGTCCCCTACGTGGGGTTATCCTACTTATAACCTACTTACAACCTTACTTACTAAGTCCCATGAGCCTTCAAGTAGGGACCTTCATAAGCCTAATAATTAGTTGGCATAGGGCACTTAGCCTAGGGCTCCCTTTGAAGGGCTCCCTTTAAGGGATCTATATAATCGGATTCCGTAGTACAGGGGTCTAGACTAGGATTCTACAGTATAGGAACTTTAATAAATAGAATAGGATTTTGGAGGTTCCTTTAAAGGGTTCCTTTAAGGGATACTATAAGGGTACTAAAGGGTGTAACATAGGGCCTTAGTAGAACAGGGTGTTGGGGGTGCCTTATTATAGTTATAATTAGTATGATATACCCCAACAACCTGTTCCAACTAGTAAGACCCCCCCTACAGTGTAAGTAACTCCGACAGGCCCAGGGACGTGCCAGCTCCAAGGACGATCTTCCAATTCACAGAGCTGTGGGATCGAGGTGACATCCATATTCACCGCGGTTTGAAGATTGAAGACATAAAATAGTCTTCATAGGGGCTTTTATATTGCTATCAATAACCGATACGTATATAGTGAAGGTTGAAGACATAGTTTTCACAGGGCTCTTATATTGATAGCAGGATATAACGTATTACCACGGTTTACGAGGCTTTTGTTGACGGTCTTATAGCTGCCTGATGAATTCATGATGCGCCAGGCTGGTTCCGCGAACCCGGATGTGAAAAATCAAAGCTTTGTAAATCCCACAACGCTTCATGCGAAGACCGAAGGCCAGCTTCCTTCTCCGCCTTCAGCCGGAACGCTCTCTGAGCGTTGAACCCTACAGTAAAGCCTCGCATCCCAAAAGCAGAAGCCCCCGAACCCTACGTATGGGTAGTTGTCAAAATTATGGTCCCTTTTGGGGTACCCTAAATATTAGGTGCCGTATTGTATTAAGGATCCAAAAGCGGACCCTAATTTTGACAACCACCCACATGTACGTCATGGAAGACACTATTATAAGCCTTTTTTGCACCCTGATACAACTCTTGTAAGATCCTGTTTTAGAACCCAAAACTTAAACCCTAAACCCTAAATGCCTTTATTATCTTATATATAACTTTTACACACCTTGCAAAACCTCGAAAGGATGCGCGGCCGGTGCAGCCTAGCGACGCCAGTTGGCAGCTCGGTGCGGGACGGGTCCCAGATTCTTGGAATCTTCAAACCCCTCAACCCTAAACCCCTAAACCCTAAACCTGAAACCCTAAACCCGGAACCCCTGAACCCTGAACCCTAAACCCTCGGGGCTTAGGGTATCAGGAATGGATCTTCCTACTGCATTCGAGGCAGCTGACGCGGAAGGGCAAGCACTTTCAAACCCCAGAGCCAAATGCAGCAATGAGGCCCAACTTCCAAAAAGGAACCCGAGACTCCGCAACCTGAGCCCAGACGCTAAAAAACGAAGTTTCAGTCCATCGCCGGTGTTCAGGTCGTTCCGAGTACGTTGAGGCCTGCAGCTGTGTCGAGTGGGGTTCGGAGTTTGGGTTGATGTCACAGTTTATGAACACTGCTAGCACTACAGTTTTTTTTTGTAGTGTTTTGTAGGTACTAGTATGTGTTTCTTCTTGTACATACTGTAGTATGTCTGCCCCGGGTGGGGTAGTAATGTTGCCTCAGCTAGACTTGCCTGACGGTACCTTGAAATCGTAAATCCAGGTTTGAGGTGCTGCTTGCTTAACAGGTGTTTGGGGCTTCGGTTTCAATCTTTTTCTGATTTAGGTCTTGGAGTAGGGTTTAGGGTTTTGGGTTTAGGGTTTCGGGTTTAGGTCTTGGAATAGGGTTTAGGGTTTGGGGTTTAGAGTTTCGGGTTGACGTAGGGCTGCTACACCATTCAACCCTGAATCCCGAACCTTGAACCCTAAACCCTACACCCTTAACCTTAATCTAAGCCCTTCCTTAACCCCACGTAATCTACCTTTTAAGGACTTATATAAAGAAATCATATCAAGGAGCCTTAAAAAGGTAGGTTCCTTAGGGTCCAGGTTCACACTATGCCCCTCAACCCTAAACCCCGAACCCTAAACCCTGAACCGTTGTAGAAACCTTTACAAGTATCTTCACCGGAGCCTTCCGCCAGGGTGATCCAGCCAACTCAACAAGGAGTCACTTTCTTTCCGCCGCACGGCCGCTTCTGTTTCTCAAAACATAAACCCTAAACCCAGCTACTTTGCGCGTGTTTTTGCTTTTGGCTCTTCTTGGGGATTTCAGGTCAGGGTCTGTGAAGTTGGGTCTCTGCAGCTTTTCTTCTTGTACCTGAGGGCTCTGACCAGGTTCCCCTAGTTGCATTCGCATCTTCCCAGCCACTTCCTTTACGGCCCGGAGCTCTGCGCAAAATGTAGGGGCTTCATATGGTACAAATATATGAACGGATCCTGAGTAGCAATTGTCGAACCTAGGGTAGCGAGAATCCCGACGTGGGATCCAACAGTGGTAGTGCGAAGTCTTTTCAGGAAGGTCCTATGCCCCGAAAGCCCAATATAAGGACTTTAACAACTAGAATAGGGTATGGGGTCCATTGTACTGTAATTCTAAGAAGGAAATAGTATTGGTACTTATTTAGGCCCCTAAGGTATCCTCAACCTTCCCGTACTACCGAGGAAGTGTCGCAAGCAGAGAGTGAGGCGAGGGGGGGAGGGGGAGGAGCGGGGGAAGCCCAAGCACTCCACTCTAAACCCTAAACCCTAATTAAGCCCTGAACCCTAAGCCCTAAACCCTGAACCCTAAACCCTGAACCCTAAACCTTAAACAGTTTTTAAATCCCAAGCCTAAACCCGGAATTCCTTCGCAGGCAGTTTTCCCTGAGGCCCTGAAGCGATGCAGGAGTCCTCAACCCGTCGCAAACTCAAGTAGCTGAGTAGGTAACCTTTAACCTACCTTTTGGGGCTTATATAATCCTACCACAACTGAAAAGGTGAACTTTTTGGGGGGCTCGGGCACCCAGCCCTTCAGTTGTAGAACACATATGGGCAATTTCAAAAGAACCCTGCAAGAATCTTGTACAATCTTCCGCAACACCGCCTTCTCAACGCGCTAGAAAAACCAGTCAAAAATCACAAAACCCTATTAAAACCTCAAGCAACCCTGAACCCTAAACCTCAAGGAACCCTGAACCCTCGACCCTATAAAACTCTCAAGGAACCCTGAACCTTAAACCCTATAAAACCTCAAGGAACCCTGAACCTTAAACCCTATAAAGCCTCAAGTAAACGCCTCAACCCTAAACCCTAAACCCTGTAAAACCTCAAGCAAACGCCTCAATTCCGCAGCACCTGGCCCCTCTGAGCTTCGGCGAGCAGCTGGCGGTGGCCTCGGGCGAGTGCTGAAATCCGAGGTCCTAGGGGAGGGTCCCTGTCATAGGGTTCCTTTAAACTTAGGGTACTTAGTTTTTTTTGATTTTTGGTTATTATAATCCCTAAGACACAGCTAAAATTATATGTTTTGCTAGAGTTCCTGTCATAGGGTTCCTTGAAAGGTACCACAAGGATATAGGGTTGGGGGTATAGGGCTTGGGGGAAGAGCCCGTAGGACATGGCCACCAATTTGAAGGCAACCTTCGTCTGAACTCGGACCTAAACATGGGTCGTAAGCTACTTGGAGGTTCATGGGTAGTCATAAGTAGGGGGTATAAGTAGGGCAACTATACTTATAACCCATATTAGGGGACTTATAACCCCACGTATAACTACCCATGAACCTCCAAGTAGAGACTCGAACCTTTAAGCTCGAGGGCCCGTGTAAGCCCAAAGCTCCAAGAACTTTCTGCCCGTCGGTTGCAGACTCAGGTTCTGGAGACCTATCTCCGGTACCGGGGCAGGAGGTACGACCGCCAGCGCCAGGACGGACGCCTCGAAGCCGAGATGCGATGAGCTATATAAGCCCGCCTTCTGTAAGGGCTCCTTTAAGGGTCCCTTTAAAGGGATCTATAGGGATTCTCTAAGGGTATAGGGTTTAGGGTCTACTTGGAAGTGCAAAATGGGTGATTATCGGTAGGGTTATAAGTAGGGTAACTATACTTATAACCCATAGTAGGGGGCTTGTAAGGCCATTGATAACTACCCATGAACCTCCAAGTAATCGTTATGCTCTTAGAAGCATCATCAGAGGGGTGTTCTGAACCCCTAAACTTTGGTGTTCTTTGGAAATACTTTTAGATCCGATTTTCATAAAACCCCAAGGGGATCTTACTCGATGTACTTTTTTCGTCACGGTTCTAAGCGCCCTTGAGAAAAGAGCTCCCATGCCGCAAAGCAGCCCGCTGCTCTTGGAAGCTTACTTAGAGGATCATGGAACTTAGTAAGTGTAGGGTTCCTTAAAGGGATCTATAGGGTTCCTTAAAGGGGTCTATAGGGTTTAGGGAGTACTTAGAGGATCATGGGACGTAGTAAGTAGGTTATAATTGGGGTTATAAGTCCCCTAAGTGGGGTTATCCTAATTATAAGCTACTTATAGCCTTACTTACTAAGTCCCATGAGCCGTCAAGTAAGCTCTGAAGCCTCCCCAAGGGTTTCCGAGAGAGCCCAATATCCCTTAATTTTGGAAGATAGCTTAAATCATTAGGGCAGGCCCAGGGTCTCTTTAAGGGATCGATAGGGTTCAAGGTTCCCCTTAAGTAAGGAGTATAGCTTAAATCATAATATGAAGCCCCTACTGATTTTAAGGTATATTCCTTAAGTAAGGGGTATTGGTCTCCCTGGGTTAGGAGTTCAGGAGTTCAGGGTTTAGGGGTTTATGGATTAGGGGTGTAGGGTCAACCCCGAACCCCAACTTGGAGGTTCATGGGAAGTTTTACGTAGGGTCTATGAGTAGGGTAAGTATACCGAAAATCCAAATTTCGGGACTCCTCTCCCCACGTATACCTGCGCACGAACCTCCAAGCTCCAGAGGAATTTCTGTTTCAGCAGTCTTACCCCCGACCCAACTCAAGTCTTTCAAGACCCTATACTATACCCTACATGCCCCTCGAAACTTTAAATCCCACAAAACATAAACCCTAAACCTCAAAAGCCTAAACCCTAAACCCCAAACTCCCCGGACCCTAAACCCCAAACACTCCCCAAGCCCCAAACCCCATACCCCAAACGGTCCCCAAGCCCCAAACCCTAAACCCCAAACGCTCCCCAGACCCTAAACCCCGAAGTTCTGGGATCTGCGAGGACACCTTGTCCCAGCCGCGGAAGATCAAGCCGCCGCCCCCGGAGGAGCGCCCAGGCGGAGATCCGAAAGCACAGGGGGCCTTGTCTTTAGGCTCCTCTACTAAAGGGACCCTTATAATCCCACTTATGACTACTACCCTAAACCCAATACCGAAAACGGAGCCCTTTTTATTCCTAGGTTACTGGGCATCCTAGTTAAGGGTTCTACAGGGTTTAGGGTTTAGGGTAGTTGTCAATGTTACTAGGGCTCTAAGTAGGGTAAACTCTACATCTAACCTGTATTGACTCAACATATAACTCATATTAGGGGACTTACTACCCTACTGACAACTATCCAGGAGCCTCCAAGTATACTGCCCAGATACTCCAATAGCCTTTTATTGGGGAATTTTTCTAAATTATAGTAAGACCCCCAATATGATTCAAGGAATATTCTTTAATTAAGGGATATTGGAGCTTTTGGGACTCATACTCTAAGCGATCCTAGGGCCTACTTAAGGGGCTCTCTTTTCAGGGATCCTTTAGAAGCTGCCCCCACCCTGTAATAGTGATATAATAGGAATATACTAGGGCCCTAATATAATCCTATATAATCCTTATAGTCACTATTACAGGGTGGGGGCAGCTTCTAAGGGATCCTTGAGTTAATGCGTTGCTAAGGGCTGTTGTAAACGGATCCAAAGTGGGTACCTAAGGGATCCTGCAAGGGATGCCTTAAGGCATGAGGGGCTCTTGCAAACGATCGCATGGGGCATAGGGGGCATGTAAGGGATCTTGCAAAGAGCCCTTTAACAAGGGATTCTACAAAGGAATCCTATAGGAAAAGTAAGGGACCCTGCAGGGAATCCATTACTTTGTCAAGGAGCTCCTTCAAGAACCAAGCACCCTGAACCTCGAAAGACGACCAGGCCACGATTGCCAATGGCACTACACTTGGAGGTTACTAGTAGGGTTACAAGTAGGGCAACTATACTTACAACCCATATCAGGGGATTCACAACCCCACGTAGACTGGCGGCCATGAACCACCAAGTACCAACATCACCACATGAAATACCCTCGTAAGTGCCCTTGCAACCTTGTGGGGGCTGGTGGAAGGCCGTCAGCAGAAGCCTTTGGACAAAGACCAGGCAAGTTTACCTTTTTTTGCATTCCGTTCTTTCCGTCATGTTAGGGTTTGGTCTTGTAGAGTCTATAGCAGAAGCCAGAAAGTTGGAGCATCATTATCCCCATGCCCTTAAAGTAAAGTATAGGGAATCCTAGCACTAATCATCCTTAATCCATGTTCCACGTTTCTGGGGTTCAGTATAAGGTCCAATCGGATGTAGGGTGTCAGGGATCAGTCGGTAAAGCCAAGCCACGCAGCGTCGTTGTCACTCGTTAGTCTTGGGAGCATTGCAGACCCTATACCTTAACTCGGTTTTTGGGCCCTAAACCTAAACCCCAAACCCTAAGGTAAAAGCCAGAAAGGTGGAATATGAATATCCTAACCTTTCTATGGTAAATTATAGGGTATCCTACCATGAAACCATATTCCAACTTTCTGGAGTTCCCTGTAAAGGGGTTTGACGAGCCGAGAGGTTGATGGCCGAAGGGCCTACAGTTTGGAGTTCAGTATCGAGCCAAGGAGGTGTTAAACCGAAGTGGCAGAATGGAAGTTCCGACATTAGGGGTACCTTATCTTGGGGTCCTTATAATCAGGTTCCTACTATTTAGGGTACTAAATTAGGGTCCCCTATTTTCGGAAACTCCCAAATCTAGGACTGCTTCCCAGCCCCAGTCTCTATGCCGGTCCAAGCCTACTTAAGCCTCAAGCCCTGACTTGGACGAGAAGCCCGATTAAGATGCCCTGGGCTCTGAATTCCCGGGACACAGCCCTTGTGTCTTGACCAGGCTCCTGTACTTATACTAAACTCGTCCCATGTACTTTGCAAGACCACAGTACAGTATATATATATATATACACACATAATCTAGGAAGCTAGGATTCTGAAGAATTGGTAGTACTATCCCGATGTAGTCCCACTGTCACAGTACTAAGTACTAAGTCTGCTGCAACATATCCCCAAGCCCGATTCCCGTCATTCAGCTCTGTTTTTTGCCCCTGAACCCTGCTCCAGGTTGAACCTGTACCAAACACCTAATGGGCAGTTCTCTAAATTCGGATCCCTGCTGGTTTTTTTTCTACATCACGGTGCCGAATTATGCTGAGGACCTAACCGGGGGACCCTTAAATTTCAGAACTACCATAACTCCGAAAACCATATAAAGTTTAAGGCAAAGCCTACCGTAATCTCTAGAGTAAACCCCCAACTTATGCCATCTTGTGGTGCTGTAGGCTACAAAACACCCGTGTAGAAAGCCTAATAGAAACCCTAAACCCTAAACTCTGAACCCTAAGCCCTAAACCCCTAAACTCTGAACCCTAAACCCCTCATCCCTAAAACCCCTGGGCTCAGTTGGGCGACCTCATCGATCGCCTTGCAAAGCCCAAGAGGCGGGCCAAAGAGCCCAAACCCTGGAATTTGAAAGGGCTCTGGGTTTAGGGGTTTAGGAGTTTAGGGGAAACCCTGAAATCTGAAAGGGCCTTGGGTTTAGGGTTTAGGGTTGAGGGGTTCAGGGTTTAGGGTTTAGGGGTTCAGGGTTTAGGATTTATAGGGTTTATAGGGTTTAGGGTTTCCGGTTTGGGGTTTCGGGTTTAGTGGGGTGAAGAGTGGATGGTTCGGGTTTCCGGGTTCAGGGTCTAACGGGACCCCAGGCCTTCAAACACCTCACCTGAGCCTAGGTTCTCGAGTCTTTGACCAGAACGTGTGGGGGATCTTGAAGGGTTGAGCTCCGAAAGTAGAGGACCCTAAGATAGTACCCTAAATAAATAGTAGGATCCTTGTTATAAGGACCCCAAAATAAATGTCCTCGGCTGGGAATTCTGGGGAGGTGGGTTTAGGCCTTACAGGCTGCCTGGGCCGATTTCTAGGTTGCGCCTGGGGGCATGTTACATTTTTTTGTTCTATCCTCATGGTATCCGGGTCTACATGGGCTGTATGCGGCCACATAGCCCTGTACCCACCCAAAGTACCGCAAGCGTGGGTCAGGGGGAAAGTGGTCGAGTCCGGTGAGCACTTGGCGCCCGCCTCAGTGCGTTCCGCAGGCTAACGACCGCATGGATTCGCCATAGAAGCTGCAAAATCGTCTGCAGAAAACCTGCAAAATCGTCTGCAGAAGCCTCAAAATCGTCTGTAGAAACCTGCAAAATCGGCTGTAGAAGCCTCAAAATCGTCGGTAGAAACCTGCAACATCGTCTGTAGCACCCTGGGCCCAAAAAGCCCCTGAGCTCCATCCACGGAGAGGCTTCTCCGTCCCAGGGCCATGCTGAACAAACCCTGAAGCCTCAGATCCTCAAGGCGGTAGCACCATTTAGAAAGGGATGATATCACAAGTAAGGATGAACTAGAACCTTTTCAAAACAATAATGGGGGAGAATTTTAAAAAGTTGATATTGTAATGTTATTCGATAGTTATAGGGTCCTGAAAGGGAGGGTGGTTCAAGGGGGGAGGGCACAAGGAATCCCTTAAAAGAACCTTAGCGAGCCCTGATCTGAAATCCTCAACTTGGAGGTTCATGGGTGGTTATACGTGGGGTTATAAAGGTTCCTTCAAGGGTCCCTTTAAAGGGTTCTATAGGGTTTTAGGATTTAGGGTTTAGGGTTTAAGATTTATGGTTTACAGTAAACCCCCATAAAGTTGGAAACCGGACAAAGGCCAAATAGTGCTGGGATTCCCTATACATTACTCTCAAGGAATGAGGCTATTGGGTTTCCAACTTTTTGGCTTCTACTGTAAGAGGGGGCCTTGCTAGGTCTGGTCCCATGGTCCCTTGGTCCCCTGGCCCTTTGTCCTCCGCCCTGTAAGAGGGGTTATAAGGGTTCCTTCAAGGGTTCCTTTAAAGGGTTCTATAGGGATTTAGGGGTTAGGGTTTTAGGGTTTAGGGTTTAGGGTTTAGGTACATGGTTAGAAGTGGGGTCATAAGTCCCTAATGTGGGTTATCAGTATAGTTACCCTACTTATAACCCTACTTGTAACTACTCATGAACCTCCAAGTGGCACTTATATAGGGGCGTTAATACTTAGCACAGGGTTTTGTTACCACCAAAATGGCAGGAGCAGCGAAACCAAGCTTTGAACACCATGCAAAGTCCTCAGCTGTTGGCTTGAAAGTCCTGAATCCCAAACACACTGGTCAAATCGCTAAGCCCCTACACCCCAAACGCAAAACCCCTCAACGCCTCAACCCCCTAAACCCCTAGACCCCTAAACCCAAACACTAAGCCCCTAAACCCTAAACCCCTATAGTACCCTGATCCCTTAAAGGAGCCCTTAAAGGAACCCTTGAAGCCTCCGGCTTCGAGGCTCTCCAGGCGTCGCGCCAGGAGATGGTGAAGCAGAAAGCCATCCAGGCTGGCTCGGAAAGCGGCTTAGCATAGGGTTCCTTTACTAGGGGTCTATAAGGGCTACTACAGTTAACAAAGGCGCCTGAGTAATTACCTATACTTTTTTTGGGGGTTTCCTGATTATATTTATGGCCATCACGGAAAGGGGCTTAGGGCTCCGGGGCCTCAATAGTTACCTATACTGGTTTTGGGAGTTCCTTATTCCATTTATAGTACTATTCTACTTCGTAAGGCCCCTACATTAGGACTTAGGGCTCAGGGTTTAACGGTCTGAGATCATTCTCTTGGAGCTTGGGCAGTTTTCTACCAGCTTCATGACGGGGTCGCCTTCACCCTGAGCCCAAACCCCCTTATAAACGGTTTAGGGTTTAGGGTTCAGGGTTTAACCCTCAGCCCCGAAGCCTCAACCACGTACTCCTTTAAAGCCGCTGAACTTTGACCCCTTATGATCCTAGAACCCCAAACCCCAAATCCTAAACAAAAAGGAGGGACCCTTAATAAGGACCCCTAGGTATATACCCTTAAAGTAGCTATTATATACCCATTATAGAGCCCATTATAGGGTAGGGGTCCCCATTAAGGGTCCCTCCTTTTCCCCTTTGGCTGATGAGGCGCGGGACGTCGAGGCAACTTTCGCTCGCCTCTCGGCGCCGAAGGCGGCGCGCGGGCCAGGGCCCCGGCACTTGGGAGCGGTGCGTTCGGATCTTCGAGGGTTGCAGTAACAGCAGAGATGCTAGTGACATTACTAAGAATAACAGCAATAGTGACAACAAGAACAAGGGTAGAATTAAGAAGGATTCTTTACGGGTTATTGTAGGAATGAAGCAAGACTAAGAGGATATTTGAGATTGTGTGGCTTTGCATATAGTAACATTGTTCATGACAGTCATACTGACAACAATAACACTAGCTTGTGGCACAGAAACAGCAACAGAAATACAATAACAGGTTCAGCATCAATACTAGTGACAATACTAAGAAGAAGAACGACAATGACAACAATAACAATTAGAATGAAGACCAAACCCGAAACCCTAAACCCTGAACCCTAAACCCTAAACTCTAAACAAACCCTAGACCCTAAGCCCTCGAGACAGGAGGTCCCCCAAAGCCACCAGCCCTGCCAAGCCGAGGTCGTAATCTGCCGCGACTCACCCTCATAAATCCAAAACATCCTTAACAGTATGGGGATCGGAATCTGTATCGCGACTATTCCTTAAAGTTTGAAGTGGGGTTACAAGTCCGCAATATGGGTCACGTAGGGTTCCTGTAAGGGTTTCTATAATGTTCGTCGGGTTTAGAATTATAAGTGGGTTATACGACCCCCAAAGTGGGCCATACGTGTTATAAGTATAGTTACTTTACTTCTAACCCCGCTTATAACTGCCCACAAACCTCCAAGCATATTGAAAGCAACCTCGAGACGCTTCAATCCCGAACGCGAAACCGGAAGGATTAAATCCTAAACCGGAATCGGTTCAGGGTTTGAGGTTTGGGGTTTAGGGTGTAGGGTTTGAGGTTCAGGGTTCAGGGTTTGAAGTTTAGGGTTTGGGGTATAGGTCCTGAGGACTACAGGAAGGAAGCCCCACGAAGCGCGAGGTATGACCCCACGCCGGGGGAGAAGGTCTGCCTGATGCCCTCCGGCCGCCTTGAGAAGCTCGGGTTTATATTTTATAGTTGCCATATACTTACCATGTACCTACTGTATAAAGTTCCTCTTTTTTACTATATAGTGTGTACTTTCTATATGGGTGGTTGTCAATATTATGGTCCCATTTTTGGGTCCCTATTATAATACGGCACCTAGAATTTAAGGGACCCTAATTTTGACAACTACCCATATACCACTGTGTGGTTTTACTATCAGTACATACTGCGAACGGCTTTCAGACTCAGGGCTTGACCCCTTCGGATTCTACGCCTTTTGCAGCATCGGGAGTTAAGCCTCAAAAACCCTAGACCGCCCCGAAAACTCTTAAGCCATAGACCCCCAAAACCCTGAACCCTAAACCCTAAACCCCTACGTAAACTCTTCGGGGAGAAAGCCGCCTAGGGTTTACTTGAAGGCTCATGGGACTTAGTAAGTCAGGTTATAAGTAGGTTATAATTAGGATAACCCCCACTTAGGGCACTTATAACCCCAATTATAACCTACTTACTAAGTTCCATGATCCTCTAAGTAGGGTCTTGGGATGGCGTTTTGAGACATCGGGCCCCTCAACCCAAAGTGCGAAGCCGAAAGGTTGAAAAGTGTTGGTAACCCTGTCGGAGGCCTCACAAGGTGGGATGAAGGTAGGTGGGATTAAGGATCCCTTATATAAGAACTCTTATTTGGGAATATCCCACCTACCTTCATCCCACCTTTTGAGGCCCCTATATTATAGTACCCTTATAGATCCCTTATAGTAACCCTTATAGACCCCTTTAAAGGAACTATTAAGTCCCAAAATATTACCATCCTACCTTTTGAGGCCCCCGACCCTGAGCCGCCGAGGTACAACCAGCACGCGGGGAGGAGCTCGGCTTAGGGGTTCAGGAGTTCACTTGAAGGCTCATGGGACTTAGTAAGTAAGGTCATAAGTAGGTTATAATTAGGATAACCCTACTTAGGGGACTTATAACCCCAATTATAACCTACTTACTAAGTCCCATGATCCTCTAAGCAAGGTTGAGGGTTAAAAGCGTACCCTAAACTAATGTAGGAACCTGATTAAGAAACCCTGGGCCTATAACCCCAAAATACACTAATAAAGGCCCAAGGTTTCTGAATCGGGTTCCTACAAGAACCACTCGTTTCGAGATTCTGGTTCACTTGACAGGCCTAAGCCACCTTCTGGGACCCAAAACCCTAAACCCTAAACCCTAAACCCAAAACCCTAAACCCAAAACCCTAAACCCTAAACCCTAAACCCTAAACCGGCCCACGCAGTGCTTGTTTTGAGCTTTGGTTCAAGGCGCGGCTTGGGAACACCCCAAGCCCCAAAACCCCAAAACCACAAAACCTCAAAGCCCAACACCCCCTACAAGTACCCCCAACACCGAGTTTAGGCTCAAGTCTACGAGCTGTACAGCAGTTTCTCGGGAGCTCTGATGGCGATCGGAAGTTGCAGAATCCCCTGGTTGCGAGCCACGCACGCACACACACACACACACACACACACACGCACACACACACACACACACAGACGCACACCTCTTGGATAAACCGAAAGCCTAACAATGCACTGGGACAATTATTGCCACTCGCAATATCACCTTATGACCCCTATATAGGTATGGTGGAAGATACACCAACACCCCACTTAATTATCAAAGGGTCCTCCAAACCCCACACTGAACCTCAGACTCCAACCCCCCATCAACCCGTGACCCCTAAACGGTTCCGGTTCAGGGTTTAGGGTTTAGGGTTTAGGGTTTAGGGTTTAGGGTTCAGGGTTTAGGGTCCCCAAACCCCCAAGACCCCGAAAGCCTAAACCCCCAAACCGCACCAGAAGCGTCAACTTCGAGCGGCTGGCGGACATGGCGAAGCCAAAGAAGCGGACAGGCCCAACAGGGTTCTTGTTTAAAGGATTTAGGCTTTGAGAGTGGGCTGTCTCTACAACAATGCTTTCTGTAGGTTTGAGGGTTTGGGGATTAAGTTAATATAATAGAAAAGTCATATTAATTACAATAGATCCTTGTTTTGGTACTTTCAGTTCTTTGAGTTCCTTAACAAGAACCCAGCCGATGGTGAGGGTGCCAAGCTTTTACCAGGCTTCTGGGATGAGGGTTTTGGGTTTCTTTCGTTATAGCATACATTTGGGATTTATGCTTGTGGGGTTAGGGTTGCATGTTGTGGAACTCAGCACGGAACCCGTGAACCTGTCGTTTTTCATGGACCATGCTGAAGCTTTAAGCTCCTGTCCTAAACCCTAAACCTTAAACCCTTAAACATGCTAAAAAAGCTTCGCCGAAGGAGCTGCGGAATCTTGGGCCCTGACGTCCATCAGCGGCAAGGACGATCGGCCGGACTGGTGAAGAAGCCACCCTAAGCTGAAATCTAGAGCCGTAAAGACTAAGAGCTCAGTGCTAAACCTTAAGGGTTTCGTTGAACCCACGGCAGCTGTAACAGTTCGCCCATCGATTGGAGGGATTCAGCGAACCGCGGCACGAGCATCATCAGCATCAGTTGGATTTCTTTTCAAGATCTCCGTGCGATTTCCCGGCCGTTGAACCCACGGCAGCAGTAGCAGTTCGACCCCTTGATTCGAGGGATTTAGCGAACCGCAGCACGAGCATCATCAGCATCAGCTGGATTTCTTCTCAAGCTCTCTGTCCGATTTCGCGGGCGTTGAACCCACGGCAGCATTAGCAGTTCGACCCCTTGATTCGAGGGATTTAGCGAACCGCAGCACGAGCATCATCAGCATCAGCTGGATTTCTTTTCAAGCTCTCTGTCCGATGTCGTGGCCGTTGAACCCACGACAGCTGTAGCAGTTTGACCAATTGATTGCAGGCATGTATCGAACCGCGGCACGAGCATCATCAGCATCAGCTGGAATTCTTCTCAAGCTCTCTGTCCGATATCGCGAGCGTTGAACCCACGGCAGCAGTAGCAGTTCGACCCCTTGATTCGAGGGATTTAGCGAACCGCAGCACGAGCATCATCAGCATCAGCTGGATTTCTTCTCAAGCTCTCTGTCCGATGTCGTGGCCGTTGAACCCACGACATTGTGGCCGTTGAAGCCACGACAGCTGTAGCAGTTTGACCAATTGATTGCAGGCATGTATCGAACCGCGGCACGAGCATCATCAGCATCAGCTGGAATTCTTCTCAAGCTCTCTGTCCGATATCGCGAGCGTTGAACCCACGGCAGCAGTAGCAGTTCGACCCCTTGATTCGAGGGATTTAGCGAACCGCAGCACGAGCATTATCAGCATCAGCTGGATTTCGTCTCAAGCTATCTGTCCGATTTCGCGGCCGTTGAACCCACGGCAGCAGTAGCAGTTCGACCAATTGATTCGAGGGATTTTTCGAACCGCAGCACGAGCATCATCAGCATCAGTTTGATTTCTTTTGAAGCTCTCTGTCCGATATCCCGGGCGTTGAACCCACGGCAGCAATAGCAGTTCGACCCCTTGATTCGAGGGATTTAGCGAACCGCAGCACCAGCATCATCAGCATCAGCTGGATTTCTTCTCAAGCTCTCTGTCCGATGTCGTGGCCGTTGAACCCACGACAGCTGTAGCAGTTTGACCAATTGATTGGAGGCATTTATCGAACCGCAGCACGAGCATCATCAGCATCAGCTGGATGTCCTTTTGAAGCTCTCTGTCCGATATCCCGGGCGTTGACCCACGGCAGCAGTAGCAGTTCGACCCCTTGATTCGAGGGATTTAGCGAACCGCAGCACGAGCATCATCAGCATCAGCTGGATTTCTTTTCAAGCTCTCTGTCCGATGTCGTGGCCGTTGAACCCACGACAGCTGTAGCAGTTTGACCAATTGATTGGAGGCATTTATCGAACCGCAGCACGAGCATCATCAGCATCAGCTGGATGTCTTTTGAAGCTCTCTGTCCGATATCCCGAGCGTTGACCCACGGCAGCAGTAGCAGTTCGACCCCTTGATTCGAGGGATTTAGCAAACCGCAGCACGAGCATCATCAGCATCAGCTGGATTTCTTTTCAAGCTCTCTGTCCGATATCCCGGGCGTTGAACCCACAGTTCGACCCCTTGATTCGAGGGATGTAGCGAACCGCAGCACGAGCATCATGAGCATCAGCTGGATTCTTTCTCTGTCCGATTTTCCGGCCGTTGAACACACGGCAGCGCTGGCAGTTCCACCCATTCATTGATTAGAGGGATAAAGCGAACCTTAGCGCGAGCATCACGAACGGCAGCTAGGTTTCTTATCAAGCTCTCTGTCCCGTTGAACCAGTTCCACCCGTTGACTGGAGAAATTTGGCGAAGATTTCCAGAACCCGCGGCAAGAACCCGCGGCAGTCGTATAATTTCGACCCAGTGATTGGAGAGATTCATCGGACCGCAGCGCGAGCATCATCAGCATCAGCTGGATTTCTTGTCAAGCTCTCTCTGTCCGTTTCCCGGCCGTCGAAACCACGCCAGCCGTACTTGCTCGACCCAGTTGCACGGGTTTAGCGAACCGCAGTACGAGCATCATCGGCATTCTGTACGATTCGCTGACGCCTCAGACACTCTCGGCCTTAAGTGAATCATGTGGCCGAACCATGCTGCAGGGCCCTAGTACTTGTAAGACTTGACGAACTCTCCACCAAATACCCTGAACCCTGAACCCCGCATCCTACATCCTAAATCCTGAACCTTAACCCTAAACTCCCAAAATTCACGCCACGATCCGAACCTTTCTAAGATCTCAAGCCCTGCAGGTCAACAGACCCTTAACACCCAGAGGACATCTCTATGAATCTCTTAGTTTGAAGGAACCCCAAGCCCTAAACCCTAAACCCCTGAACTCCTAAACCCTAAACCCTAACCGGGAGGAACCCGAAGAGGAGCCCAACCTCTTAGAGACACTCTCCATCCCAAACCTTTGTAGAACCACCGTGGAACATTATGAGACCCGTAAAGGAGACCCTAGATCCTAAACCCTTAGAGCTAAACCCTAAACTCTAAAAGCCCTAACCCCTAAAACCCTAAACCCCTGAAACCCCAAACCCTAAACCCTTAAAAACAAATCCTAAACCCTGAACCTTAAAACCCTAAACCCGAAACCCTTAAGTGCCAGAGACCATCTCAGACGCCCCTCTGGAGGAGTCTGTTGGCCCTCTGCCGCCCATCCAGAAGACTTCGGGAAAGGCGTTTCTTTTCGAAAAGGGTTTAGCGTTTGGGTTTTAGGTTTTAGGGCCCATCCAGAAGACTTCGGGAAAGGCGTTGGGGGGGGGGGAAGGTTAGAACATGATCAGCAATGGTATACCCTTGCAGTCGCGATACTATCCGTTCATCTGTCTGTCTGTCTGTCTATCTACCTATCTACCGATATACAATATGCAACTATAACAAGGCCCCTAAATCAATTAGTGTCTAGCGGTTTAAAGCCTTCTTCCCTCCTTCCCTCCTTCTCTCCTTCCCTCCTTACTTCCTCCCTTCCTACCTTCCTCCCTCCCTCGATCCTTCCTTCCTTCGCCTCCTCCTTGAGGGATTCAGAAGCCTCCCCCCGGCTTCCTCCCCGACGTGAGGCAGCTTCTGCGCCGGCAACCGCGCGAGAGCTTACGAAGGAGGGCGAAGAAGAAGAAGGCGCGGGGTATTAGGGACCCGAAAAGCACATAAGCATAAGCATTCTATAGAGATCCTACCTTATTGGGCTTCATTATAAGGGGGTTTATATGGGATATCCCTAGCCATTTTTTTGCTTATGTGCTTTTTTGGGGGGGTGTAGGGCAAGAGATTAAAAGTTGGGGCTTCGCGGAGGCTTCTAGAAGGGATGAGGGGTTCAAAAATAGGGCTTAGAGTTCCATGTAGGGTGTAGAGCTTTAGGGCTTAGGGTTCTTTTAAAGGTTTTGGGTTTGGGGGGTTTAGGGGTTTAGGGTTTAGGATTCCTTTGAATTGGCCTTGAGGGTTCAAGAAGGGCCGGTGGGGTCCAGGGTTGATTTTGTCTTGGGGGGATTCTGAGCTTGAAGAGTTGAGCTTTAGGGTTGAGGGTTTAAGGGTTTAGGGTATACCTTAGCCTACCAAACCCCCAACTGTTTTGTAGGTTCTTATTATACACCCAAATATGCATTTTATAGGTACCCTACAAAAAAGTAGGGTTTGGCAGGTTAAGGTAGGTGTTGGGACTAGAACTTTCTCGGGGCTCAGGGATGTGAGGCTTAGGACTGCTTCCCGGAAAGACGCTGCGAATTCCTCTCACATGCGCTGCAACGTGAGGCCCGCGGGACATGCTCCCAGAGGCCAGGCAAGAAAGGGCAAGGGCGAGGGCTGCAACAAGCCTCAAGAATTAGTAGTTAGTAGTACTATTAACGTGTTAGGGGCATCGAATTTATGCTCAGTTATGCAAGAATAGACCCTCAAACTCTGTTCTAATTGTTAAGGCCGCTATGGGGGCCCTCACAGCAACCTTATAATGGCCCCTTGAAGGAACCCTGATTCTGGAAGCACTATAGTAGACCAAGTCATCACTCACAGCTTCAGGTTTTGGGATTCTGTGCTCAGGGCTCATGAGCTTGCCGCCTTCCAGTAACCTTATCGTGCCCTAAGTGTAGCCGTCTAGTTCCCTTAGAGCAACCGTATAGTACCCTGACAGCAAACATATGGTATCCTTAGAGGAGCCGTAAAGTATCCTTCTAGTTTCCTTATAATATCCTCATCGTAACTTTATAGCAACTTTGTAGTACTCCCATTGGAAACCTTCTAGTTCCCTCAAAGTAAATCTAGAGCCATATTGTACACTTATACAAGCTCTATACAAAAACACGGTGTAGTAGCCGTATAAAGTAACCTGAAAGTTGTACTGCCACTTTTTAAAACAAACTCTATATGATAACCTTGTAGTACCCTTACATGATGACCTGAAAGTCGTATTGTCACTGGCTGCCGAAACCCCGAAGCTGCAAGACTTGACGGGGCGAAAGGAAGCCAAGAGCCCTTCGAAATCCTAAACCCCAGACCCTAACCCTAAACCCTAAACCCTGCCCTGAACCCGAGACCCTAACCCTGAACCCTAAACTCAAGGCCTAGGCTGCCCACCTCCGAGTGGGCGGCGCTTCAGCCCCTCGACCTCGATGGCGCAGAGCGACCCAATGCGCTCGCCTGCCTCTCCACCCACGTCGTTCCCGGCCTGCCCTGCAGCCCTGCCCTGCCCTGACCCATGAAACTCCAAGAAAAACTTAGTTCGGCAATTAGTGACCGCTGAAGCCTTTCCGCGAACCAATCCCTAACCTCAAAGCACAAACTCTAAATCCAACACCCTAAAGCCAGAATCTCCTGCACCCAAAACCGTAAAACCCTAAACCGCCTGAATCCTAACCAGAGGTGCCTCGGAAACCAGAGCCGCCCTA